CACTAAGCACCTCACATCCCATTTTTCAGATGTGGAAACTGAGGTTACAGAGGGTCATTGCAGCTAGTAACTGGCAGAGCTGGCTTTGTGCAGGGCTGCTGGGTCACAGTGCTTAGAATGGATAGCTTGCTCCACCCCTACACATGGGTTATGGGGACAAGTTCATTTCATGTTTGCAATGTGAAAGGTCGAAGTTTGGGCTGCTTGTGACCACACCTTATTAGCGCATATATGGAGTGTTTGTGAAGCTGGGTTTGGTTCAGTCCCCCAGAGGCGGGCTGGTAGGGGGTGGGGTGGGGGAGGATCATCTCCTTATTTGAAGCCACAGAGGGTCACCATCAGTCTTACCAGGAGAGGAAACAGAGGCTCTGAGATGGGGAGTGTCTGGCTGGAGGTCATCTAGGATGGCGGCTGAGTGCACACAGGCGTGAGGGTAATCCACAGAGCTGTGGCTGGCATGGGCCCACCCAGCCCTCTGTTCTGTGTCCCTCTCTGCCCGGCTGGGCTTGTCCTCCAGGTGGCAGTCTTCTGCCTTCCTCGTTCCCTCCCGCATGGTTCCTTAGTGCCCATCACTAAGTACTCTCACCCTGCTTGGCCCTCGGTCTATCTGAGAAATGGTTACCGAGGCCCAGCAGTGCCCCAGAACCAGGAAAGTCAGGGATGTGAGCACGCCTGGGCATCCACCAAACCCAGGGCCACGATCCAGCCCTAGCAACCTTGGTGTTCCCAGGTCTGACCTGAGCACGGGAGGAGATGTTGCTTTGGAGTACTGATATAGAGCAGGTGTCCCCATGTCACTTGGGTCCGTGACTACACGGCTCCCCACACAGCTGGAGTGTAGAGTGGCTAGGGTTGAGGGACAGGCTTCTCAAATTCTTTGGAACTGCACTGTCAGCTGTGGTTGCTTGACTCAGGCCTCTTTCTTAGGAGATGTCTCTGACACTCCAAAATAAATGCAGGCACAGTGTTCTCCCTATTCTTCCTCCACGGTATCAACTTGCCCTCGTTTGGGAACTTATTCCTACCTTACTAGTGTGTGTGTGTGTGTGTGTGTGTGTGTGTGTGTGTGTGTGTGTGTGATGGCAAACATTCTACATGAGTGTCATTTCCATCTCACAGCCCAGGCTCCCGTATTTCATGTTTCCCCACCCTCATGGTTCAGGCTGTCGTTCCTGTTTTTCAGTGATGGCCAGTCCTACTGGGAGTGGCTGTGTTCTGGAACCTGGTAAGGGTGCTTGTTCATATCTCCCTGAGGTGAACTTCGGCGACTAACCCTGCTGATTCAGCTACACCTGCAGGTTTTAAATTGAAAGATGTATGCCCTAACTTGTTGGATCACAAACCTGTGTGCTAGCTTGGTGTATCAGGCACAAGCCCTGGGGAGGACCTCTTGCCTGCCCATTGTGGTCCTGGGGCCTGGTGAGTTGCTGGGCTGAGCCAGTGGGCATTCAAACCCTAGATTCCTGAGGGTTTCAAAGTATGTGTCCTTATCAGAACCTCCTGGAGCATTGTGGGAGAGGTGGAGAAAGTAGGTGTTGGTTGGGGCTCTGGAGAGAGCTGTGAATCCTGTCTTCCAGGCCCTGCCTCTCATCTGTTCAATTCTTGTGCCTCAGTTTCCTTCTCTGCAGGTGAAATGCAGAGTGAATGGCTTCTGAGGAGCCTCCTGTGTCTGATGTGTAGGAATTGGTTCCTCTTATTTGTAACTGGCAAAAAACTATAGCAGGGGTTGGGGTGTTGATGGCTCCGTCCGACCTGGGCCCAGCTCTCCTGCCCTCCTTTCTGTTGCTTGTGTATACTTTTTTGTGCCTACTGCTTTTGTTTGTTTTTAATTTTTTGAGACAGGATCTTGTAATGAAGCTCTGGCTAGCCTAGAACTTACAGCGTAGCACTGAACTCATGGCAATCCTCCTGCTTTAGTCTTCTAAGTGTTGGGATTACGGGCATAAACCAACTCCTCCATATTTGTTGTCTGTGTTTTCAGACATGTGTTTTGCGGGTTCTTTGTTAGTCAAAGCGTTTAAGAAAGGGTTCACTCTGCTGGGATCTGAGGGAGGAAATAACAGTGCAGGGAAGGTAGAGGCCTTGCAGCGATGTGGCGGGAGGGAGAGGACGGAGGAGAGAGGAGGGACCTGTTTCCTCCGTTAGAGGCCAGGGAAGCAGGGCTCAGCATTTAGTCCCTGGAAACATGGAGGCTTCAAAGGGAAGGAGTATGAGGCTCTGGCCAGGGAAGGAGGGAAGAAGCCGCTGGCTTAGCCTCTGTGAGCCCCTGTTGGGAGGGAGGGGCTTCGGGGTGTCTAAGGAGAGATGCCTCCAAGGTGCAGCTGTTCCTTCAGGCTCATCCGGTCTCCTTTACCCTCTGTGGGAATCACACATTCTCCTTGTCACCAGAGGCCTCAGCAGCTCATGTAAAGACAAAGACCTAGGTGAAGCTGCGGCGACTCTCCAGCCATGCCGTGTAAGTCACAGGAAGTCGCCATGTTGGTATTCCTGCCTTGAAAAGAGGACCCTTGGCAGGGACGGTCCCCGCTGCCTACCTCAGAAAGGGTGCTGTTGGCCACAGAGTGTGCCATCTGCACCAGAAGAACATGACAGAGATGTGCTCTGGCCCCAGAGACACCCCGGAGGCGGCTGCCACAGAGGGCCTTTGCTCGCCCAGCGTTGACACCCGGGAGGTGGCGGGCTATTACAGAGGGCCTTTGCTCGCCCAGCGTTGACACCCGGGAGGTGGCGGGCTATTACAGAGGGCCTTTGCTCGCCCAGCGTTGACACCCGGGAGGTGGCGGGCTATTACAGAGGGCCTTTGCTCGCCCAGCGTTGACACCCGGGAGGTGGCGGGCTATTACAGAGGGCCTTTGCTCGCCCAGCGTTGACACCCGGGAGGTGGCGGGCTATTACAGAGGGCCTTTGCTTGCTTGCCTGTCTGCTTGCCCTGTGTCACTTGTGCCTCATGAGTGTGGGCAGAGCTGAGACAGAACTCAGTCAGCGGGGAGGGCTTGCCTTCAAGCAAACTTTGAATGTAAGGTTTCTAGAAAGCTTAAGCGTTGCAAGTCCTCCAGGAAGTGACTGATGTAGGGCCTTGCAGCTATGAGAGCTGCCACGAAGGTCTCGACATTGAGATAGGACACAGGTAGAAAAGGGTCCCATCTGTGACATCTGCTCAGGGTGGTGCCAGGCCCTGGGATGTGTCCCATGACCTTGGATGCAAAAATACACACATGGTCCCAGCTGGAGCCTCCTGCCACCTTACGGTGTGTCACAGTCAGTCTCCTGTGCTAATCACAGGCTGGGACAGCCATCAGCCTGTCTTAGGCCACACTGAGTGTCTAGGGAAGTGCTCATGGAGATGTGACAATCTGAGAATGCACATCCTGTGACATGGAAACAACAGGCTGCTTAGAAGTCACCATCCCTGGGACTGGTTATATGACCAGTGTTGTGTCCCACAAAGTGGGGTTTTCTCTGGCCACCAAGTAGCATGTGGAGGGACTGACCCACAGAAAATCTGCGTTTTGTTTGTGTGATGACTTACTTTAAAATGTTCACTGTGATTTGTGGTGTGTGTGTGTGTGTGTGTGTGTGTGTCTAAGTGAGTTTATATAGTCCAGAAAGATGCTCTACCACTGAGCCCCCTCACCCCAAACTCCCATTCTAAGTCCTTTGTGACAGAGATGGGCCAGGATTGAGGCCATGTGGGAAGGCTGTTCCTTCCTGGTGCTTATGTGTTTCATTGCTCTGCTGAGATGGTCGGTCAGAGAGGGATGAAGTCATGCCAGGATGATCTTCTCCCTCCTCTCCCTCCTCTCCCTCCTCTCCCTCCTCTCCTTCCTCCTCCACCTCCAGAGATCATCCAAAGACAATAGCTAGGAGTACCATTAAAGTCCAGGTTGAGAATCCCCTGAATCACTGGGAGTGAGGAGACCACCCAAGGCCATTTTGGTTACTCTTGAGAACTCCAGGGCATTAGTGGCTGGTTTCCACGGTGATGACACAAGACAAGACCTCTCATGTATCCACCCGGCCAAGTGGGAAGTCAGCAGTATAGGTGTCAAGGTGACTCATGAGCCACCCCGATGTCAGGCACTAGCCTGGGCCGGTAGCCAGCTCTGATGACCTGTCCCCTTCACTCCGAACCTGCATGTCACACCACCAGCCCAGGGTGTCACTTTCTCAGCTGAGAAGTAGGGTTGGACTGAGCTCCATGTCAGCAGTGTGACTTGATGTAGACTCAGGGACACTGCTGTGTGGGTCCTGGGCTGGACAATTCTGGAATGTGGGGACGGACCTGCCTGGTGTTTCTAGAGCTTCAAGGAGGGAGATGGACCATGCTGTGTTGGACAGGGACAGGGACAGGTGACACCCAGTAGGACCCTGCACCAATGCATTAGTTATTTTTCTTGCCATTGGCTAATAGAGGAAGGTTTTCTCTGCTCACCATTCCAGAGTGCATAGCTCACTGTGGAGGGAAGGCCACAGGGGCTGCGTGGTCCATGGGGATAGAAGTTTGTTCATTCCAAGTGGTAGCGGCACACACCTTTAATTCTAGCACTGGAGGGGGGGTGTGGGGGCAGAGGCAGGTGAATCTGTGAGTTCGAGGCCAGCCTGGTCTACAAAGATACACAGAGAAACCCTGTCTCGAAACATTAAAAAAAAAGGAGTTTGTTCATATCATGGAGGATCTGGAAGCATCCTGCCCCAACTTTAGACCTGCCTCCAGCACCCATACTGCTGGTGAGGCCTTATGTCCCAAAGATTTCACAACATCCCAAATGAGGATGAAACATCCACACAGAGGCACCATGGGAGACATCCCATGCTGGAACCAAGATGCAGTCCACACCAGAATGCCCATCTAAACCCGGAAAGTGCTGCTCCCTGTCCTGCCTTGTTCTCCTTTGCCCTGACGTGGGGAGCCATGTCTGAGGGCAGCGGGGAGCTCGGTGCTGCGGTGCAGCAGTGCAGCGTGATTGTGCCTGAGCCCCTCCCTCCTCATGTCCTTGCAGAACCAGCTGAAGCAGTGCTTCTCCAGGAGAACCACCGAGGCCAAGGACACCGACACCCTTGTGCACGAGGCCGACAGCCAGTATGGGACCTGGGCAGACCAGCACCAGAATGGAGGCAGGTAGGAACACACCTGGATGAGGCTGCCAGGCACCAGGCGGCACAGATGGGGCAGAGTCTGCCTTGGTTAGGGTTTCTGTGGCTGTGATAAACACCACGACCTAAAGCAGCCTGGGGAGGAAAGGGTTAAGTCAGCTTTTCACTTTGTAGTTGTCTCTGAAGGAAGTCAGGGCAGGAACCTGGAGGCAGGAGGTGATGCAGAGGCCATGGCGGGTGCTGCTTAGTGTCTTGGGCCTCATGGCTTACAGAAGCCAGGATCCCTAGCCCAGGAATGGCACCACTCACAGTGGTCTGGGCCCTCCCCCATCAATCACTAACTAAGAAAATGTTTTACAGGCCTGCCTACCTCCTGATCTTAGGGAGACATTTTCTCGATTGAGACCCCTTCCTCTTAGATGACTCTAGCTTGTGTCAAACTGACATAAAACTATTCAGTGTAGAGTCTATGGCTGACTCAGAAATTTCTGTATGTCTGTATTGTAATAGGAAGGAGCCATTGTTGTATAAAGGGCATTAGAAAGCAAAAAGAAAAAAAAAGATGGGAATAAAATGTTGACAATGGGTAAGTAGCCTGGACACAGTCAGGAACATACAGGGACAGGCAGACCCACAAGGACAGACATCCACAGTGTGACAGGGTGACAGAAACCCATAATTCACACTATGACAAGCTGACACAGGGACAGAGACCCACAAAGACAGACATCCACACTGTGACAGGCTGACACACAGGGACAGAGACCCACAATTCACACTGTGACAGGGTGACAGAGACCCACAATTCACACTATGACCGGCTGGCACAGGGACAGAGACCCACAAGGACAGACATCCACACTGTGACAGCCTGACTCACCGGGACAGACTGAGTAAACACCTTGCAAACAGGAGGCAGATGGCAGACCAGCAGTGCAGGTCATGGTCTGGGTACCTGGTGCTGACAATATTCTCAAGCTTGTCAAAGCTTTGGTTCTCCACTTGCATCTGAGGACAACTCCACATGCAGGTCTAAACATTTGTAGACGACTATGTCATAGCACACTGTCAAAGCCTGTGAGACACGGGGCTGCTGCACAGCATTGAGTGTAGTGTGTGTCACTCAGGCTAGCTTTGTGCTAACCCTGTGGGTTTTTCCACTGTGAGAAATGAAGACTGATGGACAGCAGCCGTGGGTTCCAAGCCCAGGATACAAACATACACAACAAGAAACAGTAACGGCTATGACCCAAGTGCAAAACCAAAGACCCTTTTGGCCCTAGCACAGAGTCACGCCCACGTTTGTGCTTCTGTATCTCCCTCAGTGCTTCTGGATATCTGTGTTTGTGTTTGTGCTTGCTGGTACGCGCTCCAGGAACTGCTCCATAAGTAGTGTCTGCATGCACATGGCTTGCGGGACCTTCTTCTACCTGGCTGGGAGAGAACTCCTGGGGCTGCAATTGCAAACTGCTGAAGGCAGCAGCTGCGAACCCAGCCCTCCCTCATAGGGGAGCAGGTTGGATGAGATGGATCTCCCCATGGGCACCGGATTCCTCCTCCGTAGAAAGGGTGCTCTGGCATCTGCTGCAGGCTCAGTGCATGCCTGACTGACCAGCCCTGTGGTCTGTGGACATCACTCAAGGCGGGGAAACTGAGGCTCAGAGAGAAGCAGGCCTGAGTAAACAACATGCATATCAGTGGCTGAGCTGGGCTTGAACTCAGGCCCCCATCTCTCCCACCACTGGGGGCTCTGACCTCTCCCCCTGGGTCTCTCCTGTGAGGTGTCACCTCTCTGCTGGGTGACTGCTGGGGGATGACCACTCCACTGGTAACTGTGGGGGTGGTGACCGCTCCACTGGTCACTGCTGGGGGTGGTGACCGCTCCACTGGTCACTGCTGGGGGTGGTGACCGCTCCACTGGTCACTGCGGGAGTGGTGACCGCTCCACTGGTCACTGCTGGAGATGATGACTGTTCCACTGGTCACTGCTGGGGGTGGTGACCGCTCCACTGGTCACTGCTGGGGATGACCGCTCCACTGGTCACTGCTGGAGATGATGACCGCTCCACTGGTCACTGCTGGAGATGATGACCGTTCCACTGGTCACTGCTGGGGGTGGTGACCGTTCCACTGGTCACTGCTGGGGTGGTGACTGCTCCACTGGTCACTGCTGGAGATGATGACCGTTCCACTGGTCACTGCTGGGGGATGACCATTCCACTGGTCACTGCCGGGGGTGGTGACTGCTCCACTGGTCACTGTGGGGGTGGTGACCGCTCCACTGGTCACTGCTGGAGATGATGACCGCTCCACTGGTCACTGCTGGAGTTGATGACCGCTCCACTGGTCACTGCTGGAGTTGATGACCGCTCCACTGGTCACTGCTGGGGTGGTGACCACTCCACTGGTCACTGCTGGGGTGGTGACCGCTCCACTGGTCACTGCTGGGGATGGTGACCACCCCGCTGGAGGCTCTGATTGCCCTGCTGGGTCACTGCTAAGGGGCTGATTGTCCCACTGGGTCACACCATCTGAGCTGCCCTGAGTTGAAGCTAGATTAAAACTGGATGAGAGAAGAAATGGAAGCAACCAGCCAGACTCTTCCCGTCTCTAATGCCCCCTCTGCTAACCTGTGACTCATGTGTGTAGTTCACTTCCTCAAGTGTTTCTGAGTGTCCCTGTAGGATCACCCAGTGTCTGGTGATCTGTGCTGAACTTTTTCCTATCCCCTAAGGGACCCTGAGCCCCTAGCCCCCCAGCTTCTGTCCCAACACCTCCGATACCTTGGTGCTTCCAATGCTATGCGCTCCCTGCTGTCCTCCAGAGGAACTGCAGCCTCCAGGACCAGGCTCTCTTGCCTTGGACAATGGTGCCCCCTGCTGCCGGAGGGTGGCTCTTCCCTCAGCCTCTGAGTTCGCGCCTTTCCCATTAACATCACCACACCACAACCCTGTGAAAGCCTCTTGGATCTGGGAAACTGATAAGATGCTGGGACTTGGGACTGAGGGTGAGTGAGCCAGTAAGCGAGTGGCTGACTGGCTGGCTGGCTGGCTGGCTGGCTGGCTGGCTGGCTGGCTGGCTGGCTGGCTGGCTGGCTGGATGGATGGATGGATGGATGGATGGATGGCTGGATGGATGGATGGATGGCTGGCTGGATGGATGGATGGATGGATGGATGGATGGATGGATGGATAGATGGCTGAGTGAATGAGGAGTGAGTGAATGAGGAGTGAGTGAGTGAGTGAGTGAGTGAGTGAGTGAGTGAGGCAGCCATCGTTTAAAGCAGGAGGCCAGAGGCTCAGTCTTCTCTGCTAGTTGTTAGGGACCCTCTGATCCCCTTGCCATCGCCCACTGTAAATGCAGCATGAGCTGCCCACATGATTTCAGATGTTGTGCAGGTCCCCAATGGAGTGTGTTTGTTAGATGTGGACTGACAAGTCCCAGCAAGCCTGTCTTCTCCACGTGGAGGACCCGAGCTCTGAGGCATCTGACCTGACCCTCTTTTATCATCAGAGCCTTGGAGGTTTACAGCGTACTTCCCCACAGCCCATGTTGCCTCTCATTTTTACTTTATTTCTCCCTCCAACCCCTCTGCGGAGATTCCAGGTGTGCCGCCATTGCCCCTGGTTTTGGTCTTGGCTCTCCTTTGCCACCTGTACAAGTGTCCCGTGGACAACAGACTCCCGGCTCCTGTTGCCAGGAGGAGGACCCTGCTGTCCCCTGAGTCTGAACTCTCTGAGCTGTCCCCTGAGTCTGAACTCGCTGAGCTGTCCCCTGAGTCTGAACTCTCTGAGCTACGTGTTCACGCCCCCATGTTTGGGACTGACGGTTGTGGCCCCTCTGTGAAAGTGTCGCCATCTTTCTTCCCTTGCAGCTTTGGGCCCGAGTCCCCGTCCTCTCCTGACAGCAGCGCTGCATCTGCTGGGAAGCAGCCACCAAGCAGCCACTTGTCCTCATACACGGAATCCACATCGGTGGAGCAGCATGACAGCTCCAGGGACCGGCGCAGCTCCAGCGTGGACCGCTCCAGTTCCGAACTGGAGTCCACAGATGGTCCTGAAGGGCCACCTCCATCAGACGCTTGTCCAGCAGAGAGAGAAGATGACTTTTCCTTCATCCATGTAAGCCTGAGACCGGGGGAAGTGGCTGGGATGGAAACAGCCATTTCTTACCGGAAGGAAGCCGTGGCATCTGCTAGGATGGGTGCTGTATGCCGAGAACCCCTGTGGCGGGCACAGGGCACAGCCTTAGACACGGACTGTTCTTTAGCATAGGACTGCCCCATACCAGCTGTGTGTCTTGGGACAGATGCCCTCACCTCTCTGATTCTCAGTTTCCTTACTCACTAGTAACTAGCACATCCATCTCCACAGCTTCAAAGGTGATCTTAGGTGTCCAAGGCACAACTTTCTGTGAGCACTCACAGGTCTGCCTACGGTCTGCAGTTCCTGGCTCTGTGCAGCCCAGGGTCTGCCTAGAGCAAACACAGAGGATAGACTCTTCAGGTCCTTACTCAGTAGAACATGGGCACCAGGCATGAAGGGCTCTCTGTGACAGCTGTTCCAGGCACAGGTCCCCTTCTGGGGGTTCCCCAAAACTGAGCTTTCCAAGGTTCCACACACAGCCACCCCTCAGGTGTCCACTATCCCAAGCCACGGTGTCCTGCTGTAGGCCCTTCAGGATCAGAACTGGACTCTAACTTGCTGTAGAAGCCCAAGCCTTCAAGGGTCCCTCATTCCTGATGGCCAAGCCCCTGACCTTACTCTTGCATAGCTGATGCTCCAAATGCCCCTGAGGGGCTTCTAATGGGCCTCTCAGGGGACTCACAGCCTACACACAGCCAAGGTCTTTCCTCTGGCACCTCTAGATAAGAGTTGAGAGAAAAAGACCCAAGGTTAACTTTTCAGGACACTGTTGTATGGACAGGCCTGGCGCCCATCTCCCTGGGTGTTGCAAGGATTTCAGTAGATGATATGTTACTCTATTTACTCAGCAGCCACACACTGGGGTCTCACTGTTGCCCAACCTTGCTGCAGCTCATGTATACATGAGATATGTGTCATGTGACATAGATGTCTCGCTGGACATTCCTTTTTGAACTCTGAGCACTTCCTCTTAGAATCCATCCAAAGCAACAATGGTGGCATTGACAGCCCTGGGTCCCTGGTAGCTGGCTCCATTCCATGCCCATACTGATAACTAGGGGGTGACATCTGCTGCCTGCCTTTTAGATTAGCAGGTTGATGTGGCTGCTGTAGCTGCCTATATGCTGGTGACCCAAAGTATTGGGTAAACTGAGGTCTATGTGAGATGCCACCATGACTGGGTTTCCTGTAGGGGGCCCATTTGATGGCTGATTAGAGAGATGTTGCAGGGGGTGACCCTGTGGACATGGAAGTACCCCCATTGGTGCTCTATAGGTGGTCCCTCCCCTCCCACCTCCACTTGGGGGCAACAGTGAATACCCCTCACCTCAGGAACTCCGTGAATATGGTTGTCATAAAGACAGAGAGAGATGCACTCAGCTAGTCATTCAACAGACAGAAAACAAGCATGTATTGAGCTCCTGGTGTATACTTGCTCCCATGCCTGTGTGATGTGATGTCATGCCATTTGTCCAGTGTGTCCAGTGCTGTTCTTGGGCTCTGCCTGTGTGGTTTCCACGGGGGAGTTGAGGTTTGTGGAGTCAAGGGTGCCATTAGAACATGACACACCAGCCCATGCACCCCTGAGAACACCTTGTATATGGACAAGGCTGCACACAGTCTGTGGATGGTGCCTTCCACTGAGTGTCTTTCCTTCCCACCTCCTTCTTCTACCCCAAAAGCAAACCTCAGTCCTCGACTCAAGTGCCCTGAAGACCCGGGTGCAGCTGAGTAAGCGAAGCCGCCGTCGGGCTCCCATCTCCCACGCGCTCCGGCGCAGTCAGTTCAGTGAGTCAGAGAGCCGGTTCCCTTTGGAAGAGGAGTCGCACAGCACTTGGATGTTCAAGGACTCAACAGGTATGTCCATGCCTTCCCCTTGACCTGCATACCGCTCTGGGCAGGAAGGCCTCAGGTGAAACCCTGGGGAGAATGGCCGGAACTTAGAGGTTTTAGAACATGGGACACATTGGCCCAGGAAGCTGTGGTTTCCTGTTCTGTAGAGCTTGCCATAAGTGGGGTTTTAAGTGTGTTCCGAATCTGTGTGTGGCGGTGCCCGTTTGTTAAACCTAGCAGTTTGGGAAGGGAAGCAGCGCGATCTCCACAGTGCAAAGCTAGCCCGGTGGCGTACAGAGTGAGTTCCAGGCCAGCTGTGACTGTATTATATGTCTCTTTTTAGAAAACCAAAATGAAGAGTCAGGCATGATGGTGCATGTCTTTAATCCCAGAACTTGGGAGGCAGGGGCCGGCAGATCGCCAAGTTTGGGGCCAGCCTGGTCTATAGGGCAGACAGTAGCATGACCAAGTGTGGCCTCTGACCAGATGCCTGAACGAATGCTTGGGCTTGCGTCATTGCTTCTCATGGTCCTGCCATGCTAGCAAGTGAAGGTTAAGTGTCCAGTGTGGGCTGGGGAGATGTGTGAAGTACCTGTTTCACAGGTACCAGGGCCCGAGTTCAAATCCCCAGCACCCTTGTACTCCTGTAACCCAGCCCTGAGTAGGCAGAGGCAAAAGGATTCTTGAGGGTTGCCGGTCAGCTCTTCTAACTGAATTCATGAATTCCAGGTCCAGTGAGAGAGACTGTCTCAAAAAATAAAGTGAGGAGAGATGATGTAGATGCCTAGCATCAATCTCTAACTTCCATATGCACACACACATGGCCCCCACACTGGTACATACACGTGAATACATGTGCATGTACACTGACTCAAGCAATAGCACATAGGTGAGTAGCTATCTGCAGGGCCAGAATTATGCCAAGGCACCTGGAGCAAATGCAGCCCACCATAGGGACAGAAGCCCACAGATTCCCCAAGGCAACCTGGCAGCACAACCTGGGGCTTTGATATCCATGGCCAGGGGATATCAAAGACTGGGGCTGACCTTTCTGAGCATGCCCAGTGACCAGCTGAGGCATCACCCCATCACTGGGAAGTCTGGTCTAGCCCCTGACTTGGGCAGTCCCTTGAAGAGACCCTGGAGCATTCCACATTGCCCTGTTGGTGGAACATATCCCTGCCACTTGTTCTGCTTCTGTCAAGGATGTCCTGCTATTCCTCCAAAGTGGCAGGAGCCAGAGGGTCTGCTGTGCTCTCCCTGAGAGGAGGCAGTCTTCTTGTGGCCACTGTTTCCAGCAGGTGGCAGCATCTGCTGAACAGAGTGGGAAGCTCCTGCCCCAGCACAAATGGACCAGGAGTGCCCTGGTGGTCATGCAGGGGTGTGGGGGACCTACCAATGACTCAGGGTCCTCTCTTAACAGAAGAGAAGTCGCCCAGGAGGGAGGAGTCGGATGAAGAGCCACCCAAGGTGGAGAGGACCCCTGTCAGCCATCCACAGAGGATGCCCGTGTTCCCAGGCATGGACCCAGCCATGCTGAAGGTACCAGGAGCAGCCTGCTGAGTGAATACCAGCGCCCTCTGCCCCTTTCTGTCCACCTTGCTTCTGTCTGTCCCTCATGACCCAACCAACACCTTTCTCCTTCTCATTCCCTCTACATATCCATTGTTTAACCTCCCTCCCTCCCTCTCTTCCTGTCTATTGATCCTTATTCAACCAGACTCCTCACTTGTCTTCTCTGGATTCCCCCTTCCATTGCCCATCTGCTGCCTGAATGCTGGGATGACAGGCATGTGACACTACCCAGCTTCTCCCAGAGGAATCCTGTTCACACTGTCTTAAGTCACCCCTTTGCAGCCTGTCACCCAAACTCCGGGACAGTCACCCATGCCACGTGTTTGTGGGACTCCATTGTCGTAGACTTCATGCCACTGGATGCAGTAGTGATTTTGTTGGCGCCTCTACCGAGACGAGGCTGTTGATCTCTTCTCAGTGCTTCCTGCCTGGGCCACTCTGCAGCTCAGGCTCCCCATTGCTTTGTGAGGTGTTGCCGTGGTAGCACTGCTAGATGAGGCTTGTCCCCAGGCAGAAGACAACTACACTGAGCCCTCCTCTCTCCCTAGGCTCAGCTGCATAAGAGGCCAGAAGTGGACAGTCCTGGCGAGTCCTTCAGCTGGGCCCCCCAGCCCAAGACCCCTAAGTCGCCCTTCCAGCCTGGGGTGCTGGGGAGTCGGGTGCTGCCTTCCAGCATAGACAAAGACGAGAGGTGAGGACGGGAATGCTTCTGCTGGGGTCAGGATGTTTCTGAGTGCTGTGTATAGTGTGAGCCGTGGTCTTCCCATGTATAGTGTGAGCCGTGGTCTTCCTATGTATAGTGTGAGCCGTGATCTGCCCATGTATAGTGTGAGCCATGATCTGCCCATGTATAGTGTGAGCCATGATCTGCCCATATACAATGTGATCTGTGATCTGCTTGACTCGGACTCTGCTGAGTCCCGTAGGTCTGCATAGATGTCATCTGAAATAGTCACAGAAACATCTAGAACATATCTAACCAAATGTCAGGATGGCGGATGGAGGGCTGGGGACTGTGTTGCCCTGACCTCGAGGAGCCAGGGTGTGGCTCTCACTCGACTCACTGGTGCTGCGGTTTCAGGTCAGAGGAGCCCTCGCCCCAGTGGCTAAAGGAGCTGAAATCCAAGAAGAGGCAGAGCCTGTATGACAATCAAGCTTGACCAGGTAGGACCCCGGGACAGAGCTCAGGTGGGGTGCTGAGACCTCTGGGGTCTGGGGACCTCAGGAAGGAGGTGGTCACACAAAGGCGAGAGTTCTGGATTCCTGTGAAGAGCCTGGGGAAGGGTGTCAGGTAAGTGCTCTGACCTCTTGACCTTGACCTTCCTGTTGCCCTCAAAGCCCTTGGGGAAAGGTGGTGACATCAAAGGCTGGCTAGCCAGAGATAATTCAAGGTTTTGTAGAGGGAAGTTTTGGTATACAAACTGTGTACCTTTAATTGGAGACTGTATATAGTCGGTCCCTTGGTATCCACCTGAGATCCATTCGAAGGCTTCACTGGCAACAAGATCTGAGGACCCCAAGGTGCTGGGTGTGGCATGTCCGTGGTCTGCACAGAACCTCCACACTCTCCTGTGCACATAAGTCGTATTTGTTATTGCATAAGCACATGGCATACGAGAGCACATGTGTCACAGTACATGTACAGAGCACAACTCTGTGGAGTTGGGTTCTCTCCTTCCACATATATGTGGGATCCAGGATTGAACTTGGGTCTTCAGGCTTGCACAGCAAGCTGTTTTTACTCTCTGAGCCATCTCACTTGCCCTTTAAGTCACCTGGATGACTTCTAACATCTCACACTGTGTGTGCTGGCTGGGTTGTCAATCTTGCTGTTGTCTAGGCGATGCTGACACATCTGCACATGCTCAGTAGAGGCACATCATTGCTGTGGGGTTGGCTGGCGTGAGATTGGGGGTGGCACAGACAGGTAGGGCTGAGTTTATCTAGAAGTCACACACTCAGATTGGTGTGTGCTCTGCTGTCTCCACCTACAGAGGTCAGCCATGCCCATGTGGCTGTGGGGTCCCCCAGCTTACCTGAGAACATGAGAGATTGATGGAATACCATTGTGCCCCAGCACAGAGTGGGGTGTGTGCTATAAAAGCTGGCCTGGGTGTGGTCAGGTGAGGGCCACCTCCTGAAACACAAAAAGCAAAGCCCGGCCTGAGTGGACGTGGTGCTGTTTGGAATCTGAATGCACCACGTTGTTGGTCTGTCTTGGGGTGTTTTTTGGGGGGGTGCACCATGGAGTTCAGACTCTCTTGCTAGGCCAGTGCCCTGCAGAAGCTTCTCAGGGCACCCTCGCTCCAGCCCTGTCTGCCGAACTCTGAGACTAAGCATTCCTAGCAGACTGCATTTGACTGCAGGACCAGGGAGTCCCATAATTACACATATGTATGGACACAAGTATATGTCATGAATCCAAAGGATGAGTACATTCCCAAGGGCATTGGTGGAGGGTTCAGGGCCTTGTGTTTATTCTGCGTTGCTCAGTGCTGACATGGAGTTTAGCATGCGTGTGCTTTTGAACCGTCACCCTGAACTGTTCTTGCTTCACAGTGAATGCCCAGAGCCCTCTGTAGTGATTTTGAAATCTGTGATACAACCTCCAGTAACCCGCAGGAGGGAGTTAAGGGTCAGAGGAGATGTTGCAACTGACTCATTGCAGCTGGTCACAACGCTTGCCCCATTGCTCACTTTGTCAGTCCCCAACTCCCTCCATATCCTTCCTGGGAGTGGTGACACTCTGGGGAGGGAGCCCAGGGCCTCCTGTACCATCCCGGGAGACCTGAGCCCCAGCAGAGGATGGAAGGCCTGATGGCGGGAACCATGGCAAATCCTGCTAACCAAGGCCTGTCATTTCTCTGCAGACATCACCATCCATAAACTCAAGCCTTAACCGCCATGCGTCAGAACCCGAGGCCAAGCCACTGCTCCTGCTCCTGCTCCTCCCCAGTCATGCTCCCGTGCCTGGGCCTTTCTGCCCTGAAGACACAGTGCTGAGCTTCATCTGGGTCCCCACAGGAAGGAATACCCTGCCCCAGTACCTGCTCCAGTCTCCAGAAGGACCTTCCTGAGCTCCTTGCAGGAGTGGATTGCCTTTGGCATGGCAGTTGGCCTTCCTGCCCTGCACACACCTCACAGGAGGACTCCCTCAGCTCCCCAGGAGCCCTTCTGAAAGGACATGGACAAGCAAGCTTGAATGGCTCTCAGTCCAGACATTACACTGGTGTCTCCTGGGTTTTGATTTTTGTTTTTGGACAGGCTCTTCTTTTCCTCACTTAGATCTTTTGTTGATATTTATAAGCACACAGCCCCCTGTTCTGTCAGTACACTTATCCTGCCTGTGAGGCTGTGTGCACAGTTGGCCTGTGTCTCACCACTTTCAAGTCTGCTTTAGAGGGGGACAAAGCAATAATGCAGCCAATTTTCTTGGAAACTTGACAACACCATGTATTTCAGCATTAACAGACAGACGAAAGGGATGGACAGTATCCAGTTGCCTCAGGTTACCCGATCCCTACCCAAGCCTATGAAAGCTTGTCAGTTTTACCCTCATCCACATCTGGGTTGCTCTGGTTTCTGTGAGGTAGCCTTTTCCCCTTGGTCCCAAGTGTTACCAACCTCAGTGCATGGTCAAGTGCCTTGGCCACTCTTGTACTAGACCTGCTCCGGGTGTCTTTCTTCCTCATCTTTTCTGAACACGTGTGTCCTGCTGGAGTGAAGACCGGACTAAGTCAGATCAGAACAGATGCGGCCCCACCCCATTGAGTGACCCACCCGGTTGAGTGATTGTTGAGGTCTGTCTGGATGTTGATCTAACTCAAAGTCTCCTGTAGTGGGAGCCTCAGGCCAGATGCTGGGCCACGATGTTCTCCTTTGCATTCTGCTAGCTGAATCCTCACTCCTGGAAGTTTCAAGCCTTCTGTACTCCGGACAGCCACCCTGTCTTGTTTCCTTTTGAATGGCCTCAAGATGTTATCAGAAGCCCCAGCACCAGCGGTCATCCCAGACATGCCAGGTCAGCTGCCCGCCGTGCCGGCAGCTTCCAGAGACCTTTTTCCAACCTTGGCTTGGTGACATGTTTGGTTTGGGCAGTTCCAAGGTGATCCATGGCTGTGGAGGACCCTGGGTCATGTGCTCTGACAGATGCCTGCCTGGCACTTGTGCCCGATACTGCCCTGACCTCCTCATCGACAAAAGTCGTTCTCTGTAAATCCATTACCTGCAAATGGTGTCAAGACCCGCCTCTCTGTCTTCTCGCCTTAGCTCCTCTCTCAGCTACCCTCTCTGCCCATTTCCCTTTGGAAGGATGTGGTGGGAAAAGATGGTGTTATTGGGTTAGTAGATCACCTGTGCCTGGGGGCTGAGGTACACAGCACTTAGGAGACTTCAGGCTCCACTCACACCCCACATGCACCCCACCCGCACCCCACCCGCACCCCACCCACACCCCACCCTGTGCTCTGGCTACTGACAAGAGCAGAAGTTCACACTTCACTGAATTCTCTTCCTTCCCTGAGCTAGTGGTGAGCGGACATCGGTCCCCTGAAATCATTTGGGCTTCAGTCTCCTGCAGAGGCTTTCGTAGCTCCTCTTTTCTGCTATGTTTTTGGACCCACTTTGTACGCTGTAGCACGTTTGACCCGGTAGTTGCCTGCCAGGGACTCCCTTTAGAACACACGAGCAGGGCTGAGGAGGTGTGTGACTCAGTGGGTGGAGCCTGTGCCTAACACAGAGGTCCCGGGTTCTGTCCCAGTTCCACATAAGCTGAGTGAGGCAGTGCACACCTGTGATCCCAGCACTTGGGGGAAAGGAAGAGGCTTGGAAGTTCAAGGCCATCCTTGCCTACAGAAGAAAGCCGGAGGCTAGCCTAGACTGTAAAATCCACTCTCAGAACGGAAAAAAGACAACAAACAAACAACAAAACAAACCCACAAAGCAACACTCTGCTCATGTTTCTAACTTCCCTCCGCTCTCTTCTTTGTTCTGGGTGTAAAGAATCCCACGATGGCAGAAAGTGTTCTGTTTCAAGAATTGAAAGGCATAGTAGTAGAATCAAAATAAGTTTGCCTTGTCTATCACTACCTAACCCCTTGCGCTTGATTGACGAGAAATAAATTTGATTCCACAGGGAGACCCATATACTGACCCTCCAGAACCCAAGATCTGACAGTCTCACTGGGTCACGAGTGACCCTTCTGGTGCAGGTTGGCCGTGTCCCCCTTAGAACCAGTGCGGTGAGCAGAGAGTCCATGCTTAGACCCATGGCCAAGCTGAAAGAGTGACTCATTTATTCCCCTTCTCTAAACCAGGTAAAGACTCTGGGGTCAAGTAGTGTCCTGTTACTCCTTTGGTTTCTCCAGGACCCACCTTTTAAAGTAACTTAACATGCCTTAAGTGTGTGCAGTTCAGACACTTCCATCTCCCCCAACTCTCCCTTCTGCTAACTCTGACTATCTGCAGAGCTCCAGTATGCTTCATCTGACCCCTCTTTGCCCCACCCCACCCCACCCCATAGATAGACCTTCTCCCGCATAGTCTGGCCTCACACATACAGAGGCCTTTGTCCTGTGAAATCATACGGCACTGTGGGGAGTCTTCAATTGCAACAGAGAACCATGTGGTCCTGGGGAGTTGGGAGCCTAGTGTAAAATTCATCTGATGGCCTCAGGTTTGGTAGAATGTAGGGGCAGGGCCAGAGGAGCAAGCCAGGTTTCTGTCTAGATACACGTTTTCCTCCTGCAGTGAGACCACCTCTAGGCATAGGCCCAGGTCTTCAACCTTAGTCACTGAGCAGAGATGGGAAAAATCCTCTGTGATTTCCCCAAGGGAAAGCTGGCCAATCCTGGGATGTGTGTGGGGCTGAGAGCTGCTCTGTCAATCCTGGCTTTAAGATTGCTCATCCAGGTACCCACAGGAACCACCTGGATCTAGACTTGATTGAAAAGTGAGAAGCCACACCTGCCATGTTATTATTCAGTCCCTGTCAAGTCCTGCAACAGAGATGTTGTACCCTCCCAATGTGCCTTTGCCCCATCATGTGTTGACAGGGAGCAGATCTCCGAATCTCTAGGTTCCTGACATTGCTGGGGACATTCTTGAGGTGGAGGGAACCCCAGGAGACTAGCAGGGCCCACTCCACACCTCTGAGTTTGCCTTGGCCTCAAGCCCCTCAGGGAGAGAGGACACCATCAACTTTCAGAAAGGTCATGTTCCAGAAGCCTGAAGCCATGTCAGAAGGCAGCAGGCAGGAGACTTCACTTGTCCCTGTCCCATGACCTCCATGACACCTAGAGCATCCGTTCATCTCTAAGCTCCCACAGGAAAAGACACCTCACAGCCCGCATCCTTCACCTATGCTGTGACAATCCCTGGCAGCATCCAACCAGCTAGAATCTCTCCTATCCTCTAAAGGACAATCTGAGCTTTTTAATGTTCCTGTCCCGTGTCGCCTTACAGATCTTGTTATATGGGTCTCACAAAGGTAATGTATTGATACAGGGAAGGCATTTATACCAAGTTGCTTCTTATTCTGTTCCAGAAGAACCATGATCCTCAACACACTTTGTATGCTGGGGTGGGAGAATGGAATTATGTCTGTGAATATAGGGTTATATTTTCCTAACTGTTCTTCTGGGTCCCGCCTGGGATGTTTGCGACATGATCGGGAAGGACTCACAAGATGCACGTCCTGCCCATGGCATTCTGACAGCTGCCTTACCAATCCACAAGCTGCAGGACTTCGGAATGAAGGTGGACGGGGCACTGTCGCCAGTCCCAGGAAGGACCTAACTGCGTGACCGAGAATTCATCTATAAAAACTGTATTTTTACTGTCAAAACAAATGGGGCTTCCTGGACTTCACAGTGAACGGATGTCCCCTGTGTTTTTATATTTTGTCACCGTAAGAGGTTTTCTGGCACAGACAAGCAGTCAGGAATCCCAGCTGGCTGCACCAAATGGGGTGAACCCTGCATGTGCAAACGGGGCACACCCAGACTCCAAAAGTATTAAATAAAGATCTCACAGCAGTTGTGCTGGTAAAGCAAGCGTGGCCGAGAGTGAGCCAAGGGGCCTGCTGGGTTGCCGGGGACTCCCACACACTTAGGCTGGTTTCTGCGCTGAGCTGTGCCCAGGCAGCAGGAGAGAACCCCAGGCAGGTGGACCCCCATCCCAGGAGACACGGAAATGAGATAATGACCACAGAGGTCCAAGAGAATGGAACCCTCACCTTGTCCTTCCAGCCGCAGGGTCTCTCTGTGTGGGTTGTTCTTAGCAACAAAATGAGGGGCAGTGATGGCAGCATTTGTGGCAAGAATTATGGTGGGGTGATGGCTTGGAGGGTTGTCTCATGGTGACCTTTTGGAAATGATGGAAGCACTCTTGGTTATTACAGGAGGTAGAGAATGTTAGGGCATTTGGTGAGTAGAGGCCAGGAATGCTAATCAACGGCCTACCCAGTGATAGTCAGTAACCTACCCAAGATGGCAAGTGCTAGCCTACACGGGGAAATTAATCAGCAGCCTACTCAATGCTGCCTAGTTGATAACCTACCCAGAGACGGCAAGTGCTAGCCTATTTAGGGAAATTAATTGACAGTCTACTGAATGATGCTAGTCACTAAGCTACCCAGGGATAGAATTGATGGACAACTTAGATATGCAACAACAGCCTACCCAACCTAGCCAGGGATGTTAATAACTTAGCCATTTCAGTTTCCTTTCTGTTGCTGTGAGAGCCCCATACCCAAAACAAACTTAAGAACTGTCTAACACTTCCATATCACCATTGAGAGATGCCAAGGCAGGAACTTGACAGCAATTTGAAGTAGAAACCCTGGAGGCTGCTGCTTACTGGTTTGTTTTCAGCCTAGTTGGTACAAGCCAGTCAGGACTATGAACTGGTGCCACCCACAGTGAGCCAGGCCCTCCTATGTCAGTTACTACTCAGGACAATTCCCTACAGAGATGCCCATAAACCACCCTGGCCTGGACCATCCCTCAAGTGAGACTCCCTCATCAGATGGCTCTATGTTATCTCAAGCTGACAGTTAAAGCTAATTAGGATGATACCCAGGGATGTTAAAATCAATAACATCTTGATTGTTATGTCAGTAGACCCACAGTCTACTCAGGAACACTTCCTTAGTGTTTTCTAGAGGATAGAACTGATAATCCCTCAGGCTTTGACAAGTTTAAAATTAAAGCTAATCATTGCGATGGATTTTCCCACTTCAATTAACCTTATCTGGAAATCCCTCACAGGTGTGTCCAGGGCTGACCTAATCAATATAACACCTCAGAGGTGTGTTCAGAGCTGATCTAATCCCTGTAACCCCTCACGGGTATGCCTGACATACATACATCACAAGGTGTGCCCAGAGGCTTGCCTTGTGGGTGATTCTAGAACCTGTCAAGTGGAAAATCAGTATTAACCCTCACAGATGCTAATCAACAGCTTACGCAGGCACAGTGGTTATCTGGTTATCTAGGATCACTATGGCTGTGATAATTCACCATGATCAAAAGCAAACGGGGGATTCACTCACAGTTCCATATAATAGTTCATCATCAAAAGCAATGAGGGCAGGAGCTGATGCAGAGGCCATGGAGGGAGCTGCTTACTGACTTGGTCCTCACAGCTTGCTCAGCCTGTTTTCTTACAGAACCCAGGACCACTAGCCCAGGGATGGCCCCACCCACCATGGGCTGGGCCCATCAGTCACTAATTGAGAAAATGCCCTAGGGTCTTGCCTACAGCTTGATCGAGACATTTTCTCAGTTGAGGCTCCCTCCTCTCGGATGACTCCAGCTTGTGTCGCATTGACACAGAACCAGCCAGCACCGTGGTTACCAGCCTGGTGGAGATCTTGATGCCCAGGTTCCCACCCACAGGGCAGCACCCATGCTACCCTGACGCTCAGAGCTGTGGGTTAGAGGGCAGCAGATATTAGTGCTGAAACAGCAGAGGGATCCAGTGGAGGGTGTCGGGTGTCATACTGTTCCCAGCACCATCCTTCTGCTTGTATTCCGACCAGTCACAACTGCCACCCTGCTCCCCGAGGAGAAGCTCTCTTGGCTTCAGCACCTGTGGTAGAAAGTGGTCATTGGTGTGAAGTATCGGTGGGAGGCGGGATCCTGGGGGGACAGAAAACAGTGACCGTCGTGTGGGGGTTGCTGGCCTCCACATACTTGTAGAGAGAGTATCGTGGTGCAGGAGTGTGTGGTGGTTTGAAACTGTCAGCCAAAATAAACTGTCCACCCTTGTTTCTGTCGGGTGTTTTGGTCACAGTGACGGTAATAACTAACACATTAGCTTATGGGGCTGGGGTAATGGCCAAGTACTCCATGGAAAGCCAGTGGTGGTCGCATGAGCACCTGTAACCTCAGTGGCGCCGAGGATGGATACAGGAGGATTTCGGGGAGTGGCTGACTGTGGGCCTAGCCCCAGGTTCAGTGAGGGACACTGTCTCAAAGGAATAAGGGGGAGAGTGTCACAGCAGGACACCAGGCCAGCTCAGCCACACATATACCTACTTGTGCAGTATATACTCACAAGAAAAAATCCCAAATTCATTTGTAGATATGACTGTGAGAACTCCGTGACTCACCCTGTTCATGGGATCTGAACAGTTTAGAGGGGTCACTGACAACATCCCGAGGATCCGGTGATCGGGCCTTAGGTGGCCTCGGGTCTGTGACCTCTGTAACTCCTGTGGCCTCTCTGAGTCCAGTTCATCATCATCTCTAATATGGAGATCAAAATTCCTCCCCTAAAGATGTGAGGAAGCAGATTAACATAACAGTCACAAAGACAAAAGTGCCTTGTATATCTACAACTGACAGCTGTTGTTCCTACCTGCTGCCCTCGTGAGGAACATGCCTTCTCTGACGTCATCGCCTTTGGAAATGACTGCATGGGTTTACAGGGGATTTATAAAACACATCTGTGGTGATCAGATTTCAATCCACTTACCTGGCACATGGATTCAGGGGTCCCCTGCTCCTGCTTCCAGGTCTGGAGCCTATGTGGGAATGTTGAAAACTCTAGTAGGAAAAGAGCATCAAGGAGACAAAGGGGATAGAGGGTCACGGGAGGGATTTGTGCTCCGTGCCCCCTGTCTAGCCTGTCAGGCCTCCCACAAAGTCAGCAAAGACCATGGGCCCCAGGAAGTCATCAGAGTTGTGTTGGAGGTGACTGGCCCTGGGGGCCTCCCCAGGCTTGCCATTAGGGTGAAATGGCCCGGACAGGATCGTGTGGACAGGACGCTGTCTCAGCAGGCTGTGATGTGCTAGGCCAACAAAATACACCCATAAATAGGCCAGCCTTGGAGGCAGGCCAGTCTGGGGACAGCTGGTCCTGGAGGCAGGTTTGTTCTGGACTGGGTGAGGCTGGGGGAAGGTGCAACCTCGGGCCTTTATGAGTGTGCATGGCTGCTGCTTGGTTCATTTGAGGGTATGGGCTGACCTCCAGGCCCCAGGACTGCCACTGAGCCTTGGCAACAGGTGGTGCTGATAATCTGTACTGTCTGTGGGTCTAGGCATGAGGCTGGGTCCCAGCTGTGTGTGTGTGGTCTGGGGACCAGGCTGCTAAGCACCGGGTGGCTCTGAGAAAGGGGGTGGGCTGAGCCCCATGTCCTGCTGATGCTAGTTAGATGCCAAACAGAAGCTCCTGGGCATGATGGGCCTCACACGACTGTGCCAGGACAGGTCGTAAGGGAGGTGACAGTCGGGGCAGGTGTGTGTGCAGGATAGTGTAAGTGTGCGTGTCCATGCACCCATGCTGGTGAGTAGAAGTCTGCAGAGCCTGGGTCCTGTGTCTCTGCACCCCCGGGCTAAGAAAGACTGTCGGGGTCTATTGTGCAAGTGCCTGGAACACAGCAAGCTCTCCATCAGTTTGGGGAGTGAGTAGCCTGCTTCGTGGCCTAGGATGGTTTCATAGGCCTGGCCCATTTCACAGCTGCTTGGCCTGGCTGTCTGTCTGTCTCTCATGCCTGCTGTGCTCTGCTGTTCACCCTAGCTTGCTTTGGTGTCCAGTCCTGGGCACTGAGCCTTCAGAGAGCCCACAGAGATGCCCAGTCCTGTGAAGGAAGCATTTTGGTGTGTGTGTGGTGGGGGAGTTACCAATCCAATCTGAGTAATTTCTTCTCTGTAGTCTCAATAAAGGGGTTTTGCATTTCTGGGCAGAAAAGATGCCCCAATTCCGCTAACAGGCCCAGATGCATGGCCCAAAGCAGGTGCCCAGGGGCTGTTTGCTGAATGACTGAGTGCCTGGCTATAGATCTTGATTCATGGTCATGAGACACGGGCAGCAAAGGCCATGATCACTGCTGTCTGGTTCCAGCCACATCAGCACCTGTCCCTGCTGCGTGGAGCTTGTGACCCCGTTTCCCTCCAGAGTGAGGCGGAAGTGTCCCTGGAGAGATGGCAGAGCAGCACAGCACACCTGAGCAGGCTGCAGCCGGCAAAAGCCATGGAGGCCTTGGGGGCAGCTACAAGGTACCGGGGTCTTGATGGAACCTAGAGCCCAGGACTGAGGGCAGCAACTGACTCAGTGGAAACACGGACACCAAGCCTCAGGGGATGTAGCTTTTCCTGTGTGACTTTGCTTGAGTTTCTTGATGCCTCTGGGCCTTGACGTCTTTAAAACGGAAGTGATCCCTGCTGTCCTTGGTCCCAGAATTGTCATAAGATAAAGTGGGTGACAGGAGCATGACTGGAAGATGGGGGGAGTGTGACATAGCTGATTCTGTCCCTTTCAAAACATGGCGAGGCTTTGGAGGGGACATCTGACATGGGTGTCCTGAGGCGGCCCTGATGATTTTAAACGGGACTTGTGGACATTATTGTAATTGCTCACTGTGGCCACCAGGCGGCAGTGCAGACATGTGTGGCTCTCCTAGGAGAGGAGGAAGCAGATGGGGCCTCTCTGTTGTTCTGAGGGAGCTCAAGGACCAGGGAAGGCTTTCACCTCTGTTATTCCAGGTGACTGTGTATGAGTTAGAGAACTTCCAGGGCAAGCGATGTGAGCTCTCGGCTGAGTGTCCCAACCTCACCGACAGCCTGCTGGAGAAGGTGGGCTCCATCCAAGTGGAGTCTGGACCGTGAGTATCTGGGCAGTGTCCCCCTGCACCAAACTCCTGTGATCAGAGGCCCCCGATCTGCCCCCAAGCAACTGCCTAGCCAGCTTTGCCTTGGTTTCTCCATCCATAAAATGACAGAATCCTGGCTTTAGATTCCTGTGGTGTATGGCAGGAACAGAAAGGAGGCCAGCTGGTGCCATGCTCAGAGGTGAAACACTGGTTAAAGTCAATTCCCAGCACCCATGTGGTGCTCATTGAGTTCCCAGCACCCATATGGTGCTCACAACCGTCTGTGTCCCTGGTTCCAGGGGATCCCACACCCTCTTCTGATCTATGCAGGCACCAGGCACACATGACGTGCAGAGACATACATGCAAGCAAAACACCTGCCCCCCCACACACATACAAGTTTTTGTTTTTATGAGACAGGGTTTCTCTTTGTAGCCCTGGCTGTCCTGGAACTCACTCTGTAGAGCGGGCTGGCCTTGAACTCACAGAGATCCACCTGCCTCTGCCTGCTGAGTGCTGGGATTAAAAGCATGTGCCACTGCTGCCACCACCACCCCATGAAAGGTTTTAAAGACTGAAAATATGAAGTCATGTAAACAGAAATGGGATTTACCTTTAAATAGCCATAGGAATTATGACACTATAAGGCTTCACATGAGTTTTATCATGAAGCTGCATCCTATGAGAGCCACACCCTTTTCTATAACTGGCATAGCAGAGGAAACTGAGGCCAGAAAAACTAGGTGTCTGGAGCTCAAGGCAAGCAGGCCCCTCACTGCACTCACTGCACACTCTGCACTCACTGCACACACTGCACACTCTACACACTGCATTCACTGCACCCACTGCACACTCTACACACTGCACACTCTGCATACTGCACACTCTACACACTCTGCACTCACTGCACTCACTGCATACTATGGACTCGCTGCACACTGCACACTCTGCACACACTGCACACACTGCACACTCTACACACTGCATTCACTGCACACTCTACACACTGCACACTCTACACACTGCACACTCTACACACTGCACACTCTACACACTGCACACTCTACACACTGCACACTCTACACACTGCACACTCTGCATACTGCACACTCTACACACTCTGCACTCACTGCACACACTGCATACTATGGACTCACTGCACACTGCACACACTGCACACTCTGCACACACTGCACACTCTACACACTGCATTCACTGCACACTCTACACACTGCACACTCTACACACTGCACACTCTACACACTGCACACTTTACACACTCTGCACTCACTGCAGACACTGCATACTATGGACTCACTGCACACTCTGCACACTGCACACCTGTACACACTGTACACACTGCACACACTGCACACACTGTACACACTGAGCTCTGACCTTCAGATTGAGTCCTTGCTGTTTGTGATCTCAGGCAGCATGTCTGCCAGCTGTGTCTCCTGAGGACAAACAGGGATATGGATTTCAGTGTGTAGATGGTATATACAAAGACAGAGAGAAAGGGAGGGCAGGGAAGAGGAAAGACCAAGAAGGGGAAGGGGGAGGGGGAAAAGGAGGAGGGGGAAAAGGAGGAGGCAAAACTCATTCACGGATCTATTTTTAGGTTTATTTATTTATGTTTATTTTATATATATGAGTGTTTTGCCTGCATATGAAATCTGTGCACAATTGCATGCTTTACACTTTGTGGCCAGGTCACTGGATCCCCTAGAACTGGAGTGTGGTTGGCTGCGAGTTGAACCCAGGTCTCTGTAACAGTAGTCAGTGCTCTTAACCGCTGAGTTATGGCTCCAGCCCCTCACCCATGTATCTTTTGCTCAGCCTATGGCAGGCACTGTGGGGACTTAGCCACACATGTATTCTTAGCATGTCCTAGGATGCCCAGGGCATCAGTCCCAAGCAAGTCCCTGCAGGTCCTCTAACAGCAGGCACAGGGGTCTTTCCTTCCTGTTGTTTCCCCTATATGTTGGTCCCCACTCAGTCACACCAGAGGTGACCCTGTTCCTTCCACCCTCAGATGGGTGGCATTCGAGCGCAGGGCCTTCCGTGGGGAGCAGTTTGTCTTGGAGAAGGGGGACTACCCTCGCTGGGATGCCTGGTCCAGCAGCCGACGTAATGACATTCTCCTGTCTCTTCGACCTTTGCACATCGTGAGTCAGGACCTGTTGGTATCCGTGTGTGTGTGTATGTGTGTGTGTATACATGTTCGTACATGTGTGTGCGTGTGTGTATGTGTGTGTGTTCCTGTGTATGTGTGTTCATGTATGTGTGTGTTTGTATGTGTGTGTTTATATGGTGTGCATGTGTGTGTGTATTTGTATGTGTGCATGTGTGTTCATGTATGTGTGTGTTTATATGGTGTGCATGTGTGTGTGTATTTGTATGTGTGCATGTGTGTTCATGTATGTGTGTGTTTGTATGTGTGTTCAGGTGTGTGTATGTGCACCTTGCTCCAGCAAGTTTGGCCACTGTGATCCCTCCTGGACAGCCTCAGATTTTTTAATCTCAACAATTGTGTGGAGTGAGAAGAAGCTGGCTCCTGAGTGGGCACCAGGGCAGGACACTAGGGTCCTTGTCCTGAACTGGCAGACGTGACCATGAGCCCTTTCATAGTAACCCAATTTACCCGAGGAACGTCATAGTCCAAGCTCAGCTCAACGCTGTTCGAAGAAAAACAACTCAAATGCTCAGAAAATCACTTCAAGGCAGTTTACTCTCATCCCTGGTGCTTCCTGAGGGGACATGGTCCATGAGGACACTAAATCACTGACGTGCCCCCACCTCCTTCATCAGTACAGAAGCCACCCAAGCCCTTCCTCCCAGTCTTTGAACAGAGTTCATTTTAGACAACAGAGAGATGAAGGCAGACTCAGATTAGGAGAAGGGGAGGCTCGGCCATGAGTCTTGGGGCCCCTCTGAGCCTCAGTTCCCGTTTTGGTAGTGATGACTGGTGGGAGGAGATATGTCCAGGCTCCCTTCTTCTGCTCTGGGGTGTCTCTTGGGTCCCTGTCTCTTGCAGAGGGTTGAGGTGACTCGATTCTTCCTGTTCTGGGTGTGGGAAGCCACTCACCCTTGACCTTTGTCCCCAGGATGGCCCAGACCACAAGCTTCACCTGTTTGAGAACCCAGCCTTCAGTGGGCGCAAGATGGAGATCGTGGATGATGATGTGCCCAGCCTGTGGGCCCATGGCTTCCAGGACCGTGTGGCCAGCATCCGAGTCATCAACGGAACGTAAGGGAAGCCCCGGCCCCATCCACTCCAGCTCTGATGGCTGCTCCTTTAACAGCAGCTTCACCACAGCTGCCAGCCCGACACTTGAGTGACACAGCCTGCCCTCTGAAGCCACCCTCACTCAAAGCCTATGGGGTGGGGGCCTCGATGGCCCAGTCCATGATCCTAGTATTCAGGAGGCAAGGCAGGAGGAGTGGCCTGGGTTCCAGAATCAGGTCCTGCATCAAAAATCCAAGAACTACAGCACCAGCATGTTGGTGCACACTTTTAATCCCAGCACTCAGGATGCAGAGGCAGGAGGATCTCTGAGTTTGAGGCCAGCCTGGTCTACAGAGTGAGTTCCAGGACAGCCAGGGCTACGCAGAGAAACCCTGTCTCAAAAAACAATCAACAACAACAAAAGGAGTTAGGTTCTATCCCTAGCACTGTGCACATGTTCACAGTCTCTCTCTCTCTCTCTCTCTCTGTCTCTCTCTGTCTCTCTCTCTCCTCTCTCTGTCTCTCTCTCTGTCTCTCTCTGTCTCCCTCTCTCCTCTCTCTGTCTCTCTCTCTCTGTCTCTCTCTGTCTCTCTCTCTCCTCTCTCTCTCTCGTCTCTCTCTCTCTCCTCTCTCCTCTCTCTCTCTCTCCTCTCTCTCTCTCCCTCTCCCTCTCTCTCTCTGTCCCTCTCTCTCTCTCTCTCTGTCTCTCTCTCCTCTCTCTGTCTTCTCCTCCCTATTCTCTTTGGTCCCATCTCCCCCTCTCTCCCTAATCTCTCTTTACTCCCTCTGTACTCTTTGCCCCTCTCTCTCCTCTCCCCCTCTCCCTACTCCCCCCCCCATGGGAATGCTCCAGCTTCCTTCTGCTCCATTGAAGTTTCTAGACAGTTTTGTTCTCCTTCAGTCGAGTGAATCACTCTCAATGCGTGATCTCCACCCAGGTCTCTATGGCTTCCCTAACTCCTCAGGCTTGGAACTAGTTCTCAGAGTGACCTTCATCTTGAGTTCTTTGTTATTATCAGGGGCTTGAATGAGTGTAGGTGTGGGCAGGCTTGCTCTCTGCCAATGTGACCTCAGGGTCACCTGGACTTTGGGATCACCGCAACCTTTGGGTCACCGCAACCTTGGGGCCACTTTGCCTTCCTTCTCCTTTGTGGATTTGAACCTGGGATTGAGCCTGGAAAGATGACACTGAAAATGTACTCTATGGCTTTTCCTGAGCATAGGAGTCCTGTGGTCAGTTAGAACCGGGTAGCCCTTCTTCTCAGGGATGGTGACTGTGAGGGGCACAGGAGGGGAGGTGTCTCTGTGAGTCCCAGGGGTATGTGTGATTCCGCCTCTCAAGGAGACATAAGATCAGGTAAGGAAACACATTCCAGTCAGAAGGAACTGCAGATGTGAAGGCTTGGACTCAGCCTGATGTGGGAGGGTGGAATGGTGCTGAGAAGTGAGGCCAGGGATGCTTTAAAAGAGTAGATGGAGTCATCGCAGGGCGTTGGGGAGCCAAGGTGGAGAGCACAGCAAATGCAGGCTTTAAAGGGTTGTGCTTGGGGGGGGGGACGACAAGAGGAACATGCCTCTCATATTATTCTGCACAGGTGGGTCGGCTACGAGTTTCCTGGCTACCGCGGGCGCCAGTACGTGTTCGAGCGGGGCGAGTTCCGCCACTGGAATGAATGGGACGCCAACCAGCCACAGCTGCAGTCGGTGCGCCGCATCCGAGACCAGAAGTGGCACAAGCGCGGCTGCTTCCTGAGCAGCTGAGGACTCAGACCCCTGGGCCCACGGCCTGTGTCCCCTCCCCAACCTGCCCAATAAAGCCCACCAGCCATGCTCTGTCTGTGTCACTTCCTGTGGTGGAGCTGTGGAGGTTAGACTGGAGGGGTCCAGACCCTCAAGAGGGGAGGAGGGGTGTGCCTGTGCCGTGTCTAGTCTTGTCAGCCCAGTCCATTCCCCCTCTGCCACAGGCTTACTTCCACCAACAGTGCCTAACTGTCTATCTGTCCATTCGTTCATTCACCTATTCATCCCATCATATGATCACCCACCCACCCACCCACCCATCCACTCATCCACCCATCCATCTACCCAACCACTCAGCCATTAATCCACTAAGCTAGCCATCCATCCATCCATCTACCCATCTACCCATCCACCCACCCACCCATCCACTCATCCACCCACCCACCCATCCACTCATCCACCCACACACCCATCCACTCATCCACCCATCCATCTACCCAACCACTCAGCCATTAATCCACTAAGCTAGCCATCCATCCATCCATCTACCCATCTACCCATCCACCCACCCACCCATCCACTCATCCACCCACCCACCCATCCACTCATCCACCCACACACCCATCCACTCATCCACCCACACACCCATCCACTCATCCACCCATCCATCTACCCAATCACTCAGCCATTAATCCACTAAACTAGCCATCCATCCATCCATCCACCCACCCACCCACCCATCCATCCATCCATCCATCCATCCATCCATCCATCCATCCATCTACCCATCTATTCAACTAGCCACCCATTCATTCATCCACATATCTATCCTCCCAATTATTTAGTCATCAATCTACTACCCACTCATCCATTCATTTACCCATCCTTCCATTCATCTTGCTATCCATCTACCCTCCCACTCTCCCACTCATCTGTCATCTACCCATCTTTCCTCCCTTATTTCTGTCTATATTTTCTTCCTCCCATTGGTTCATACATCCTTGCTGCCACCCACCCACCCACACATCCATCCATCCATTAGCTACCCATCCTTCTCCCATCTGTCAGTTCATCTGTCCTCCCATCCTCTCTCCCACCCTTCCTTGTAGAGTTTCTCTAATATTCTCCTATCAGTCAGTTAACCCTATTTCCATTCATTCTGAGGGAAGCGGGTAACCTCAGTACAGGGTTGCCCTAGCTGAAGCCATCCTCAGAGAAACAGGTGCAGAGAGCTGGCATGCACTTCCTTGAGCAGCACAGCTTTCAAGAGGAGGACCAGGACTCTTTGACAGTTCTAATGCCCACTGTCCCCACACGGGGGCTGCCAGTGCTGTGCTGACCCTAGCTGTACCCCTGAGGCAGCCATGCCTGCGCTCCTGTGTAGCAAGGATTCACTGTGCCCCAGGAATGGAGCCACAAAGCGCTCTACACCACAACAGCTGGCTTCCGGGTCTTCTCTTGAGGAGCTCAACAATAAAACTCATCAGAGCTGGCTCTTGAACAGCGTGAGGTTCCCACCCCTTAGATAGACCCTCCTTATCACTTTGGCAAATTCTGGCACCCAGGCAATTTCTTTCACTGTGTTTGAACAAGTGCTTCTGTCCAGGGTAAGAAGAGACCAACATGTTGCACCAATAAAAAATAGAAACCTAGGTCTGGCCCTCTACCCTGCCCCCCTTCTGTCAAACCTTAGCTATTGCAACATTGTATCATGCCATTCCTTACACTGTAGTTAAGGGTATACCCTCTGCCTATTTTCATCCTGATCCAGCTCTGTCAAAGCACTTAGCTACTGCAACATTGTATCTTATCGTCAAAGCATTTGAAGGTTTTTTGCAAGGTGGGTTATAGTTGATTTTATTTCAAGAGACCAAGGGGTTTGACAAATGACAGTTTCAGGTAACTGTCCCTTTGAATATTTTTGAAAATTCTCAGTTGGATGGTCTGAGAGACAAATTGACTCACTGCTTTGCATCTAAGGGACAAAAGGTACCCCAAAGCCTGCAGCCTTCATGGCCAATTGGCACTGGTCTAGCTAGCTGCAATGACAGATGTCCTTGTTTCTCCCTCAGCAGGAACTTGGCTACACATAGTGTTTAGGGTGGATAAAGACTGTCATCCCACCCTGCCACCATCTCAGTAGCATGCAGGGAAAGAGAACCCTTAAGGGGTCTATGGTTATTATTTGGCTAGAAGGCTTCATGTGGCCAAACATGCCTGTGAACAATGTCAGGAAGCCCCGGTGACAACCTGCTCTCAAATATATTGCATTATGTTCTTCCTGTGGCATCCTCAAGTCCCCAATAAATGGTCCAGCCTGGAGTGCTGGTCTTGAAACCTCCTTCTGGTAAACCTCTCTCTCATTAAGTCAGTCAACACGTATTTTCTGAGGACCTACTATGGGTTGAGCATGTCTGGAGGATGTGGAGGTAGCTAAGCTGAGACTCAACTTGCGCTGAGCCCATTGTCCACACAAGGGTCACACCACAGCAAAGGACTCTGCAAGCTTGTGAACCTATCAGCTGTATGCTGCACCCAGATGAGGTGTGCATGAGTTCATTCCCACTGAGTCCTCCAAAGGCTCTAGGAAATACATGGATGATGATGATAGAGAGTACTGAATACAGAGAACGGCTCAAGCTGTTGGATGACCCTGTCCCAGCATGTCCTCCTTTGCATGATGGGCTGAAAAATGAGGAAACATACAAGGCTCTGAAATTAGTGCTTGGTCCAAGTGTGATGGCAGTGAATGTCTTCCTGAAGGAATAGGGCCACCAAGTGCTTTCTGTGGCAGATTCCAGGCTGGCTCCTCAGAGAAAAGACAGACACAATTCTAAAATAGCCACGCACTAGGTACCTAGCCCTGCCTCACCCCCCCCACCCTGATTTGAAGAAGGAAACTTTGAATGCAGGGGAGTTGAGAGGAGAGCTGTGGAGCTGACCAAGGCTTCTGAGATGTTTTCTACCCATGACTCCTTTCACCTAAGAATTTTTTTTGTATGTGATGGATGAGGGCAGGTCTAAAGGTACATAAAATAGCCAAATATTTCCTGATAATGATCATAAAGAAATTTAACATAATATTTCCTAAGCACATAAATATGAGGTGTGTTATAAATAAAAGAAAATTTACATACTAATGGGGTGATGTGTTTGCCTGCTTTTGTTGTTTATTTTGTTTGTTTGTTTTTACATCCCAATCAAAGTTTCCCCTCTCTCCCCTCTTCTCAGTTCCTCTCCTCTCCTCCCCCTACTCCCCATCCACTCCCCCTCCACTGTTTCTCTTCAGATACAGGCAGGCATCCCATGAATATCAGCCAGTCATGGTATATCAAATTGTGTTTGTCTTTCTGTTTTATTTGCTTTTGAGACAGGGTTTCTCTGTGTAACAGCCTTAGCTTCTGGAACTCACTTTGTAGAGCAGGCTGTCTTTAAACTCAGAGATCCTCCTGCCTCTGTCTCCTGAGTGCTGGGATTAAAGGTGTGCAACACCATTTTTGTGCGGCTGTTCTGGTGTGCTTTTCTGTTGCTGTGATTAAACTACAATGCCAATGAGTGTCTTCCTGAAGGAATAGGGCCACCAAGTGCTTTCTGTGGTGGATTCCAGGCTGGCTCCTCTGAGAAAGGACTGACACAATTCTAAGTTGGGTTAAACTACAGTCCACTTAGGGCAGGGAAGTGTTTGTTTCATCTTCAATTTTCAGGCCGCAGTCCATCATTGAGTAAGACTGGACAGGAACTCAAAGGAGAACCCTCCTGTGGAGGTTGCTGGCTTGCCCTCTGACTTTCTCAGCTCAATCTCACTTGCCTGGGGATGGCACCACCACAGCGGGCTGTGTCCTACATCAGTTAATTAGCAGTCAAGACCTTGTCCCACAGACATGGCCAGATGGAGGTGGTTCTCTTCAATTGAAGTTCCCTCTTTCCAGGTGACTCTAGCACAATGGTGTTCAGTCTTCCTAACGCTGTGACCCTTTAATGCAGTTGCTCATGCTGTGGTGAGCACCAACAATAAAATTAGTTTAGAAGCTACTTCACCACTGCAATCTTGCTACTGATATGAATTGTAATGTAAATATTTCTGGAGACAGAGGCTTGCCATAGGGGTCATGACCTACAGGTTGAGAACCACTCTCCTAGATTGTGTGGAATTGACAAGAAAAAGTCACCAGGACGATGGGCACAGCAGCCACACAATGGCAGAAGAATGGCTCCCCCTTCTCTAGCAGCCATCAAATGCCACTGTGTTCTCAGCTAAGGGTGGGGCTTCCTATGCCCCTCCCCTAACCATGCCGAAACATCATGATCTTGTGTAGGTAACCACACTGTGGGTTCCTGTCTGCAGTAGCCACGAGACGGCATTCTACAGCTCTTCCCCATCCTTGGACTCTCACGTTCTCTTCGCCCCTCTTCCCTGATGCTTCCGGAGCCTTGGCTGGGGTAGAGATGTTCCATTTAGGAATGAGCACTCAATCGCTCTTCTTAGCGTTTTGACCAGCCATCGCCTGTATAAATTGTATATGCTCCACCTTGACTTCGGCTAACACGGGGAGAAGCTTCTATGACTGAGGTTGAGTGTTCAGGCCTGTGGGTATAAATATAAACATTTAGGCAGTTTGACTACAGTCCACTTAGCAAAGCAATACTAGTAAGTTCCCCCCAGGACCCATCACTTTCCCAGCTGTGGGCTTTTGACCAGATTTATAGTCTTGAACTTCCTTCTGTGGAGCAGACTTTGAATTCAGTTGGAGAGTAGTTGGTTATTCCACAATAGTCATGACACTATTGCGCCCGTGGACCCCTGACAGGTTGTGTTGTAGCATGAAAGGTTACTGATCGCTTTCCCCTGCAGGGGCCTGCATTGCATCTTTGGCACACCAACAGGGGTGGATTTTCACAGTGATTTCCGACTTGATTTCTCTATTGCATCCAAACTTGATATGTAGTGGAGGGTGACCTTGAATTTCTGATTCTTACGCCTCTACCTTTCCATCACTGGGATTACAGATGTACATTCCTGTTGTTGGTGTTATGGATGCAACTAAGGGCTCAGTGCTTGTAAGCAAGTGTGGGTCCCCAGACCCCGAAAGGCCTTTGTGCACCCATGGTCCCAGTATGCGAGGAGCTGGAAAGCAGAGTTTCGGGCAACCATGAGTATGGCAGGTATGAACGACCATTTTGGAGGATAGCTCATTATTGAAATGGTGGGGCTAACTTAAATATGGGGGAGGGGAGGAAAGAGGTCAGGGAAGAAGTGTTATGGTGAGGGCAGGGACTCTCCAGGCTACCAGTTAGATTAGCAGAGTGCCATTCACATGACTTCTGGGAAGTTAGTTCCCTGGGGAGGAACAGAATCTTGACTGATTTTATCGTGGCATGGCCTTTGTCTCTGTAGAGTTGAGTAGACCCAAGCCTGATTTGGGAAGGGAGCAGTCCCACTCCTGCTGTATTCTCTGAGAGATTTTTGGGGGCAAGTGTGGGCAGTGCTCTGCTGACCCACATCTGGCTTGAGAACTGACAGGGAAGCACTCTACCAACTGAGCCCTATCCTATTACCATCCCCATGTAATTTTTGAGGGACTGCTATATTGATTCCCTTTTCCACGCCAAGTACCTGCTTCTTTCAAGACATCCACTTTGTAATGCTGGGTCTGTGTCAGGCTCCAGGCTCTGAAGAGACCAGAGGAAAAAAGCTGGGCAGAGGGCACCTCTGCCTTCATGATGATCTATAGGAGGGAAATGCAGGAGCAATAGAGTTTTGGGACAAGTGAGAAACAGCATGGGCAGGGGACTGAGACACACAAGTGTGTGTGATGTTCATGTGAGTGTTTGTGTATTATGTGTGTGTGATGTGCATGTGTGTGTTTATGTATATGTGTGTGATGTACATGGGTGTGTTTGTATATTATGTGTGGGTGATGTGCATGTGAGTGTGTGTATTATGTGTGGGTGTGTGTGATGTGCATGTGTGTGTATTATGTGTGGGTGTGTATAATGTGAATGTGTGTGTTTGTATATTATGTGTGAGTATGATATGCATGTGTGTGTTTGTGTATTATGTGGGTGTGTGTATGGGATGTACATATGTGTATGTGTACTATGAGGTCCCCCAGGAAACAGATGCATGATTTTCAGGTTTCTCTTTGCAGTCTCCTCTCTGGGGGGCTAGAAAGCCATACAAAAGCACTGTATCTATTAAACATGTTTTTCTTCTAATTCAGTTTGATTTGATCTGATTTGGATTGTTGTGTCAGCAGAGAGACTTATCGGAGTGTAGAAACTTTTCAGTGTGTATGTATACATGTGTGTGTATGTGTATATGTGTGTTTGTGTACTATGTAGTGTGTGTGTGTGTGTGTGTGTGTGTGTAGATGCGCTGTCGAGAGACTGGAAAGTGGATGAGAGAGGGAGTCTGTTAGCTTGGCCTCAGCACATCTCCTCTCTTGCTTAACTTTGGATTGAAGGTCAAGACAGAGCCTGGGCTGCAGGAAGTCATGCAATCTAGAGGATGTGAGCCCAGGGCACCGATGGGCCAGCAGTGGAGTTCTGAGAGACTTCTCCCACATTGGGACCAGGTTCCCAGGCAATCCTCTTAAAGACAGTAGATGTGGGCAGCCAGCATCCCCAGAAAGTTCAGTCTCCTCAGCCAGCCTCCTGTCCTACCTTGTCCCTGCAGGACAGGAACTCAAACAGGGCAGGATCTTGGAGGCAGGAGTTGGTGCAGAGGCTATAGAAGAGGGGGCTGCTTACTGGCTTGCTCCCCATGTTTACTCTTCCTGCTTTCTTATAGAACCGAGGACCACCAGCCCAGGGATGGCCCCACCCACAATGGGCTGAGTCCTCCCACATCAATCAGTAAGAAAATACCCTACAGCTGATCTTATGGAGGCATTTTCTCAATTGAGGTCCCCTCCTTTCAGATAACTCTAGCTTGCATAAAACAAGTCAAGACAGTGCAGGATAGATGGATGGATGGATGGATGGATGGATGGATGGATGGATGGATGGACAGGTGGGCTGACATGGGAGTATGTGGATGGGTGGATGGATGAATGAATGCTGGTTTCTTCCTGAAGTCCCTCTTTGCTTGCTTTCCCTAGAGGCACTGAGAAGGCCTCTGTCTGCTGTGCCCCCAGGGCCTGGTGACTGCATCTGTGAACCTGGCATGGCCCCGTCCTGGCAGCGGGACGGCTGATGCATGCAAAGTGGGCACCTTCTTGCTCGGCCGCCTGACACACACTGGCGCAGCCAAATCTGAAAGCTAATGACATTATTGTGTGGAGACACAATGTCTGTGGGCATTTGCTGACCCGGGCTTTGGTGTAGGCTTAGCCTGCATTCTCACCCTGCTTTCCGCAGGGACGCAGCAGTCACCCATCTTGGCACCAGCTCCCCTGGGGAAGGTATAAATACCACCTCCCACCAGCTGGGCTACACGGCACTCACCGGGGCTGGTGATCTGGTAAGGAGGCTTCTGCTGCTTGCTCTGTTCTTTGCTTTTCTTTCCTTCTTGTTGGAAAGTGTGGCACAGAGGCCAACACCTGGCCTCATTTTTCCCTTCTGTTAAGTGGGGAGAGGGGCAGTCTAAGTCCCTCTGCCATGAGTTAGGAAACAACACAATAGGCTGACCTGGTGCACAGCCAGCACCTGGACAAGGCTCCTCCTTTCTTCTGCTGGAGACTGGAAAGGAAGATGTGTCTGTCTCGGGAACCAGAGGTGGCCCGACCTGGACAATGTCTAGATTTTGGAGCCAGCTTTCTCCTGACTAGTCATTGTGGCTCTGCTGGGCCAGCCTTGGGGGAAACTTGTGACCTGAACTCAGCTGCACCTGCTCCTGGGCGCTGTGACTTTAGTGTCTCTAAACCCCACTAGAAACGGCCCTAATCATGCCACCCTGACTGTCCCTTCCTGGGTGCCGGATGTGTTCCAGGACCCTGTCAGATGCACACATGGTATGGAGTCCTAGTTTGCACAAAAAGAGTGAGGTACCTCTGCTGCTTTCCTGGTGGATAGAGTAGGAAACTGAGGCACAGGGAGAGGGCGGGACTTACAAGCGGCTGTTCAGCTGCTCAGTGGCAGAGCAAGCTCTTGGAATGGCTCAGCTGAGTTCAACACCTAAAAGTAGAAGATCTGATGAGCTCCAAGTGGGCACAGGAAACCTTCCAACAAGATCCCACAGCTCAGAAGTCCAGCAATAAGGGAGGAGCAGTAGGGGAGGAGCTGTGGGGAGAAGGGGGATTCTTCCACTTAGATCAGGGCTGGATCATAGTGGAGGGAAGGACAGAGGCCAAGTGGCTGCTTCTGGAACAATCTAAAGACCAGTGAAGAGGGCTGAGGGCTGGGGTTGACTCAGGATTCCTACAGCAGCTTCCTCATTTCTTCCAGGTCGCCTGACACCAGAGAGTCCACCATGGCCTCAGACCACCAGACGCAGGCGGGCAAGCCCCAGCCCCTCAACCCCAAGGTGGGTATCCTGCTGGAGGGAGGGGCAGGCAACCTCTACACGCCCAGTCAATTTCTTCCTTCCTAGTCCCTCGGGGGACTCGGTCTCCCCCAGCTGCACACCTGGTGCCGATTCCCTGCGCTCTTCCCCACCCACCAGAACGCCCAGCGTCAGCTTCAGATTTTAGAGACTTAAATGTCTCTGCTTGTCTGCCGCCCCACATGCTGCCGCCCACGGCACTCCTCAAGACTTGGCAGAGACTCAGTGCCAACTGAAGAGGATTCCCAGAACCCCTCCTGCTGTGTGACCCAGGCCAGCGGCTTGACATCTCTGAACATCAGCCTATACAACAGGGAGCGTTAGTTACTCATAGAACAATTGTGCAGGCCCAGAAACCAGGCTCAACCTCCCACCTGGAGAGCCATGTGTCTGCAGCTCAGACTGTCTGCTTCACCTCCTGACTCTCACACTCCTGAGACAGGGAAAGCTTATTCCAGCCTCGTGGAGGCTGGTCCCACCCAATCTGGCCCAGCTCCACCTCCTCATTCCATCTCCTTGAGTGAGTGACAGTCAGCAAACTGTCTTGAGGTGGCCTGTAGCCTGATGGAGTGAGAGGCATTTAACACTGAATAGTTTAAGGGATCCTCAGAGCTAGAGTACACAGCAAATGGTGTGTCAGCTTGGTGCTTTAGGGGGGACCTCCCTGAGGAGGTGACTGGGGTTAAGTGAGGGAGCCGCCATGTGAAAATAGGGGACTAGGAACGGTGAGGGCGCTGGGGTAGTGGGAACAGCACCTGCAAAGGACCCTGAGGTTGCCAACAAGTTGGCTTGAAGAAAAACGAGAGAACAGGGCACAGCATTTCAGTACTGTGATGTCACACACACATACTGTGATGTCACATGTACGGTGATGTCACAAGCACATGGTGACATCACATACACATACAGTGACATCACACACATTTATGATGTCACAGATGTACGGAGATGTCCTGTATGTACTACGAATCACACAGGTAACTTAAGATCTTCTAATGGTCACAGGGGAAGTTGTAGAAGGCAACAGGTGATTAATTTCCACTGGGCCCTCCCACCTGGCCCCGACTTCCATATTCTAGTGCCTTCTCAATGTCCCTGCAAACAGGTTTCCTGGTCTGCCCAGCTGGAAAGCACAGCTCCTCCTCGGGCTACACAGAGCAGGGGAACCGGAGGCCGCGTCTCCCGCTGCTGTGCCTGGAGACTGAACTGAGCCCATGGAATCTGCCCCTGAGCCCTCCTGGTCACAGCTTTTGCTTCTTTTATCCCACTAATCCCCAGCCTGGGAAACAGAATGCTTTCTCTAGCCAGTGCTGACTTGCGGACCCTGCACCCACCCTCCTCTCCTCTCCGGTCCTCTTCTGCATCCACAGGTGGCTGTAGGCTCCCGTCTTCGGGGCTGAGAGACTGGAAAGGTTCCCTGTTCTAGGTGTGGCTGTGAATGTGGACCCTGTCCGTGTTTAGCTCATGAATGCGAGGCCTTGATTGGGTCTCTTCACTCTGCTGAGTCCTAGGCTCCTTGTTGGGATTTCCACTGCATCCCTGTCTAGGGCAGATGAGGAGACAGGGTGAGCCATGGGGTGGGGGATTTCTAGTAAGATCCACCTTATTTGGGTGGCCATAGGGAGGCCTAGAGACCTCCAGGGGTAGAGGCTTGAGGAAAAGGGCCCAGGAATGTGTATGTTTACGGGAGACAGCTGTGTGTGGTGTCTGTAGAGGGGCATCTCACACCTCCTGGGAGCCAAGTGGCATCTGGAATATGGGTTGTGGCACCCCAGAACCAGTGCCATGAGACTACCTTCTGTCGAGATCCCAGGCATGCTGCCCACTAGCTTCTGCTATATCACACAAGTTCAGGCCATGTACCGAGCCTTAATCTACAGCAGGTGCCCTAACGGATGCACGATGGGCAGCTGGGGTATTGCTTAGGGGGAGTGTGGCTTCTGGATGTGTGGATGGCCCTGGTTCCATCTCTAGAACTCCACAGACACAAAAGGGAGGACACCATGATGTCTCCCACGACTGAGCTGAACCTTGTGCCCCCATCTTGACAGATTCCCTGACCCTGGTTGGCTCTGCCACCCATGTTACTGGCAGAGAAACTGAAGCTCAGAGAGCAGCACCTTCAGGCTCCAAGTCTCTGGCCCTCAGGTCTGCAGTCGTGGGGCTCTCTGAGCTACCTGCTCACCTGCTCACCCCCTGTTCTTCCCACGGTCCGACTCTCTCCCATTCCTTCCAGATCATCATCTTTGAACAGGAGAACTTCCAGGGCCACTCCCATGAGCTCAGCGGGCCCTGCCCCAACCTGAAGGAGACTGGCATGGAGAAGGCGGGCTCTGTCCTGGTGCAGGCTGGACCGTGAGTATCTGGGTGGTCTCACCTAGCCCGGGACTGTCAGCCTGGTAATTGAAATGTTGGATTGGGGGCGTTTAACCTTTCCGTGTTCCTAGGTTGTGCATGGTGGGGGCAGGATTTGGGAGTTTGTGCTTAGGAGGCTGGGTTCAAATCCTGGTTAGGGGACCTTGTAGGCTGTGTGGTGTTTGATCATGGACTTCCCTCTCTGATACTTGGTTTCCTTTCTGTAGCCGACATCTTTGGTGTCATCCTTTAGGGATATAATTATGGGGGCTGCCTCTCCCCTTACCATGCCATGGGTTGCATGAGGGCCATAAGGTCTCTCATCACTTATCAGTCCTCCTTTATAAATGTCTTGTGAGTTTGGGGGCACAGTGACCCCAACAAGTTGGTATATGTCTGGTGGTTCAGGAGTCCTATGCCAGCCAGGGGCTGATTGTGACCACACACTAGTGTCTAATAGACCTGCGCAGGTACAGTTATTAGCACACACGGGGACCAGGCTCTGCCTCTGTGGAACCTGGCCCCTGACCCTGTGAGAGCTTCTGACCTCATCTGCTTTTGCCATTTTGATGGGAGAATTTCTCAAACATTTTAAATATTGAAAATAAGCCTTTGTGTGCTTGATTAGTTGTGTGTGTTGGGGTAGGGGTTACTGAGGGAGGAGCCCATGGATTCGACTTTGCAAGGGAATTCCCCCACCACTGAGCTATGCCACACCCTTCAAAACTGCTTTGTATACATTAACAACCCTTTCTCAGAATATGTCTTGAGTTTTTTAAAATATTTTATTTATTTATTGTGCATACAGTCTTCTACCTGCAGGCCAATGGAGGGCACCAGACCTCATTACAGATGGTTGCGAGCCACCATGTGATTGCTGGGAATTGAACTCAGGACATTTGGAAGAGCAGTCAGTGCACTTAACCTCTGAGCCATCTCTCCAGCTCATATGTCTTGAGTTTTAAAACTAACTTTCAAAACTGTTTTCTGGGTTTTTTGTTTTGTTTTGTTGAGGGTCTCACTACTTAGCCCAAGTGAGTTTTGAAGCCCCTGGTGTTGGAATTCTCTGGGAAAAAAGTACTTTTTGCATATTGGTTAAAATATGTGTTCAATATTAAGAAGGAATAACTCAGCAAAGAGTTGGGTTCCCTGTCCCCAATTTTGACTTTAGCTTACCCTTCAGAAATACTCATCATTAAGATTTTGGTATGAGTGTAGACTTTTTCCCCTGTGCATGCATTCGTGGCTTTTAAAAACCATCTTATTTGGATGGTATTCACAGTGTTTTGTCAAATGTTAGGAGGCACCACAGTGTTCCCTGTGTTGTAAGTCACACTTCACATTGGCATCTTTCAGAGCAATTTGAGGTCCCTAAGCATCAAAACTACAGAAGGGAGACTCTGCAGATCCAGGTCCTCACCTCAGACTCCTGGGCTTAGAGCTCAGGAATCTATCTCAAGCCAGATCTCCTGGTGGTATTTATGTCCAGCCGAGTTTGTGAACCCATGTATCGTCTGTCATTATGTATGGTGGTTTGGTACACGTTTACTAGTTTATCCACCCTCTCAGCTGTTGGATGTTGTAAACACTGCTATGATAGACAGTTTTGTTTGGCCCTGCCGGGGCTCTGACTGTTGGTCTAAAAAACACAGTGCCTAAAGCAGGCTTGCAGGATCTACTGTAAGTCGTCCTTTGAGTGCACATGACAGATGAAATTGCCTCTGTCACCATTCTGAACAGCCACCATTGTCACGCAGTGGGAGAGTGTCTCTGGCCTGGAGAGCCCCAGAACCTTGGCATTTGAGGTTCCCACTTCCTCTTGCCTGCTTCTCCTTCCTCTATGGGCCCTCCTAAGAGAGCACTGTGGATTACAGTCAACCCTGTCATATCCACAGGCGTCACTTCCCTGGAGCCAAACAAGGAGCAGCAGAGAGTATCTAGGGGGACATCGTATCTGCTCTAAGCAAGCACACACCCACTGTCTCTTCTCTGTCCCCTAAAGAGGGATCCAATAGTCACTTTCACAGTGCTTGCAAGGCATCTGCAGGTGATTTAGGGTGCACAGGAGGCTTTTGCCATTGTAGATTCCAGCCCAGTGTCTTAACAGCATAGAGCAGTCACTGGACATCTCTCTACCATGAATCTAGGAGTCAGAGTGTTGTGTAAAGGCAACTAGAAAGACAATAGGAGAATTGAGACTGGAACCTGCTGTGGATGAAGCTGTGAGCTGCACGATCTTGAGTCCCAGAGCTGTGCTCAGTGGTCAGCTGAGGGACCTCCCCTCTCTCCAGGCCTGGCTGAGCTCACCCTGTCTGCTTATAGTCTCCATGCCGAGGCTGTGGACATTGGCCAGCAGCACTAGATAAACAGGATCCTGGGACTCTTGTTCTGCATTCAGAACTGGTTATTATTTTCCCAGCATCCTCTTGGTTAGGACTGTCCTCTCTGGTCAAGCTGTCCTTCAGATTAGATGTTTAGTTCTCCTATGTGCTGCAGGAGGTGGAGGGCAGTGGGGCCCGGGTTCTGGATAACCAAGGCCACCTTGTACTTAGCTTATTTGTATTTGGGTTTAGATGGGACCAGTGTAGCGGGGTTGAGTGCCAGGGTCCTGCTGGATGCAGGATGCCCTGGCGAGGGACCCACTAGCCCTTTCTTATGTCTTGCAGTTGGGTAGGCTACGAACAGGCCAATTGCAAGGGCGAGCAGTTTGTGTTTGAAAAGGGCGAATACCCACGATGGGACTCCTGGACCAGCAGTCGGAGAACAGACTCCCTGAGCTCTCTGAGGCCCATCAAAGTGGTAAGCCCTTCCTACCTTCTCCTACACCGGATCCAGAGGTTTGGGGCCTGGGAGATCCCCCACCCACACTGCTCTGGCCAAGGACCTCCATTGTGGGGTGTGGCCAAAGGCATTTGGCTTCCTTGAGCTTCTGTTTGGTCTTCTGCAATTGAGACTTTAGTTAGCCCAACTCCAGGGGATGCCATTCCCTGGGCAACTGTGTTGTCCTGTGGGCCATGGCCCTGAAGACTCAGGCTCAGTTAGCAATCATGAGCATTCAAGAAATCCCAGGGTTGTGGGGGAGGGGAAGGTGCTTTAGTCAAGACTCAATCAATGTGAGTTTCTGGTCTACTTCTGACCCCGATTCTCACTATAACGAGAACTGTTGGGCAGGGAATACTCAGCAAGGTGCCCAAACCTTCCAAAGCCAGACGTGTACCTCTCAGACTGGATCTCTCCAAGACTTGAGCAAGTCTTGTGTTGACTCTGCTCCTCTCAGCTGAGTGACTCTGGGTGAGCCACTTGACCTCTCTGAGCCTTAGTTTTCTCAGGTGTCCTGTGGTATAAGAACTGCTGAAAAGATGGAATAGTAATGGAGAAAACCTTCAGTGGGACAGTAGATCTGGAGATGTGGGAGACCCTGCACCGGCTGGGACCGCCGGGAGCTGGCATGCTGCCTGTGCTGCATCACAGCTGCTGTTTATGGAATAGGAAGTTGAGATCGAGGGAGGGACCTGGAGTCTCTGGACCCAATGCTCCCTGAGCACAGACTCTGAGGTTGCCTGTCCCATTCCAGTCGCTGGCTCCGCAGGCATCCAGTCACCAGTTAGGACACTTGTTCCACCTCCCACCATGAGGTGGGCCATTGACAGAGGTGCGCGGAGGTTGGGCTTCACCCTCACCCTCCACCCACAGGACAGCCAAGAGCACAAGATCATCCTGTATGAGAACCCCAACTTTACCGGTAAGAAGATGGAGATCGTAGATGACGACGTGCCCAGCTTCCACGCCCACGGGTACCAGGAGAAGGTGTCTTCCGTGCGGGTGCAGAGTGGCACGTGAGTGTGGCCCCAGACCTCAGCATCCGGGAATCTGAGTCCTGTTGTGCCCTGAGCTCACTGGGTTTGGGGGGAGGGGTCTACTTTGTCCTCCATCCACTCTCAGATCATCTGGTGGGCATCACCGGCCTATAGGCTGAGGGAAGTTCCATCATTGGCTGTGCCCTCTCCAGTCCCGCAGTGTCTACCTAGGCAGGTGGAGGCAGGTGTCGCAAATGGAATAATCTTAGCTCAGAGGGAGGAAATGGAGTGTTTGCCCCTGCAGACCCCTGAGCCTGAGAACAGAGTCAAGGAGGAATTCCACTTTGACACGTGACCTTGGCCTCCATCCTGGGGAATTATTGCGAGCCATGGCACTCATGAGGTCCTAGGGGTGGAGAGTAGCTTCCTGGCCTTTCCTCCTCCTCCTGGAGTCAGGACACCCCCACCTACATCTCCTCTCAGTTCACATGCTCCCCCCACCTCTGCCTGCAGGTGGGTTGGGTACCAGTACCCCGGCTACCGTGGGCTGCAGTACCTGCTGGAGAAGGGAGATTACAAGGACAACAGCGACTTCGGGGCCCCTCACCCCCAGGTGCAGTCTGTGCGTCGCATCCGTGACATGCAGTGGCACCAGAGAGGCGCCTTCCACCCCTCCAGCTAGAGCTCCAACCTCCCCCTCCCCGGGGGCCAGGCCCACTACCCAGGGGCCTCCTGACACCAGAGTGAATAAAGTGTGGCTTGCAACATGTCTGCTGTGGATCTTTTATCTATGGCGGGCCTGGGGCACATGTGTGTGCATGTGTGCGCGCGTGTGTGTGAGAGGGGGGAGTCAGCAGGCATCTGGGCGGAGGTTTGCAATAAGGTTCCACGGAATCTTACATCTCCACCACTCCACGGCTGTGTGACCTTGAACACACTGGTACCTCTCTGAGCCTCTATCTGGTTTACCACTCCACTGCCTTGCACGAGGCCAGTGTAGGTGACCTTCTGGGCCTTGCACAGCACGATGCTGAACAGTCGGTGGGTGACCGGTACCTGGTCCACTTCCTGTCACCCTCACTGCTCCATCATCACTACAGAGCAGGGTAGTGGCTTTTTGGTTTATTTTGTATCTCCCAGAGGATCCAAGGCCCTGCTGTGCCCACCGTATCCTGGGAGAAGCCTTAGCCACATGTCTGCGTGTGTTGGGGTTCACTGTTCTCCGCTCTGTCCTTGGGTTGGTTTGGTCTCTTGTGCGCCCCTCGAGAGTACAGCTAGGAGGTCACAACTCAACAGGAGGGAGGCTGTGAAGGCCTCGTTCACAGGCCTCACCCCAGGTGACCTCTTGGAACTGTGCTTCTCCCATGAGGGAGAAGCAGGGATGGAAAAAGCAGGCCCGTGTAGTGGTGCTGCCTTCTACTCAAGGTGGATGCTGGGGTCTCTCTTCACCTCTTTTACTGGTAGCTCTGAATATCATTTTAAAATGTAAAAAACTCAGATCTCAACCTCCCCCACTCCCATGGTTTTCACCGCCTTTAAAAGGCTCTTTCTAACCCCAGGACACAAATCCAATCTCTGATACCCATGGATGTTTGAGGGCTTTGCTCTCAGCGTTCACATTCTCGATTTCCGTGCCTTTAATGTGGTAAGACCCAGCTTCTCCTTTGATTATTTCCCCCCTCCGGGCAGCTGCTGGTCTGCAGGTCACTGAAGAACTCCACTAGGGGTCTGTTCATGGGCTGCCTGCTCTGTCCCTGTCATTTCCTGTGTGTTCTGACCCTGTTGGTATCAAACCTCTGCTTTGAAGGTGAGGGTGATAGCCCCCAAGGCTTTAGTCCACAGGGATATTGGATACTCTTGCTCATTTAGACACTCTTTAGAAGCACCCCTCCAACATGGAAAAATGTTACAGCTGCAGTCTGTGATCTGCTGCTATAACAGAATCCCAGAGACTGTCAACTCAAGAAGTGAAAGGCTGGTTCCACAGTCTGGAAGTTCAAGACCAGGCAGCCACCTCCGGACACAGGGGTCCCTTTGGAAGGGTGACAGGGTCGAGCAATGAAAGGGAACCAACTGTGTGTAGAAGGGGCAGAGCTTACTCTGGCAAGGATGTCCCTCACCCCACCAGAAGAGATTCATGACTTCCAAGGATGTAGTTCCAATGTCTTTAGCACCCTGTTCTAAACCCTCTCTCTCTCTTTTTAAATTAAGGATGTTTTCAGACTTATTTATTTTACTTTGTGCATGTGAGTGCTTTGTCTGCTGGGGACAAGCTCCTTGCAGCCTGCAGGAGGAGCGGACCAGCCACCGCTGGCACATTTGATCTTAGATGCTCACCCTCTGAATCAGGAACACCACCTGCCTAGCTCCCTGTCCCAGAAAACTCACAGGGTGGTGGCAAGGGGAAGGAGATGAACCCGGGCCAGGCGAGGGCTTCCTAGGAGACGTGTTTAAAGAGACATGGAATTTTCCAGGCGAAGTCCAGGTGAGAAGCAGTTTCAGCAGAGGGAACAGATATGTGACATGGGGTGATCGAGGAGCATGATGAGTCGTCCCCCCTCCTGGACGTGGGAAGCTGGCCTGGCTGAGCAGGTCCTGAGACATGAGGGATGCCTGTGTTGACTGTGATACGTGGGTGTGCAGGAGGGGTGGCTGGTTCTAGGGAGAGCACAGCTACTCGTCATTGAATGCTCAGCCTCTCACAGGGCAAGAGGTAAAACTTTAACATAGTCATGTCTTTTACTGGAAGATCCCCGATTTTGGGAGCACCCAGTGGGTCTGCTGATCTCAGATGGGTGTCAAGGGTGGCTCTCAGCGGGCAAGGCTCACACAGCTGAATGCAGCTGTCCTCTTGGATACTCCCAGTGGGTACTCCTTGGGGTGCACCATGCCCCAGGAGGAAGATGTAGCTGACTAACATCTTTGTGATGGATTCCTCAGTCTAGAGGCATCCCAGTCATGTAGGGTTTGCCCGGGTTTGGGAGGAAGGGACACAGTTCCCACCAGCCAATAGGACATCTGGTGGTGTCCATCTTCAGAAGATACAATCTTTCCTTGAGGCACTGGGGGTGTAGGGCGTGGGCTTCCATGGGGCAGGGCAGGAACCTGGTGTCTGAACTCCAGCAGAACACAGGCTCTCTTGGGCTGACTCAGGACCTGGTGGCTGGTCCGAGTCCCCGCCACCCTTTTGTCTGTCATGGTAGGGTGTGATCTGTCTACTACCCTTGCCCTCCCCACTTTCACCCTGCCACTTGGCCTGGTAGCCCACCTGGTTCTTTTCTGGTTCCCAAGGACTCACCCACCCCTTTTCCCAGTCCTTCCCGGCGCCATTCCCCTGGCGGCCACCAGGTGTCAGCAAAGAGCCATCCTCAGCGATCTGTCAGTCACCGAGGTGGGCGGGGCCTCGAGCTTTCTGAGTTTCCCGTGTCCCACTCGGGAGCGCGTTCGGGACACTCACGGATTCTTGAAACACAGGGCTCCTGCAGGAAAAGATCAGTATTTGGTCTTACGCTTCCAATCCCTGGAACAAAAATTAGAACACAAACCACCACGGAGACAAAATGGAAAATGTTTTATTCTTGGCTTCCACGCGGTGGGCCAGATAACTCGGGATTGCTCTGCGTCTGGGTGTCTGCGCTGGCCGCCTCGCGTGGGCACCCACGAACCTTTCTGGAAAAGAGTTGGATTGGCAGCGTCTGCCGCAGGAAGGGCCCTGTGCATGTGAAAACCACAGCACCCACCCGCTTCCTCGAAACTTCAAGAATCTAACATTTTAATTTCATTCTCGCTTATACCAAAAATGACTCTTCCTTTGGTTCCTTCCCCTCCTCCTAACGTTTAAAATATAAAAACATTGTTCAAAAGAAGTTGATGTGTGGCCTGGGAACACAATCCCATCAACCCAAACACCACGTTCCCATATGGCAAGTGTTTCACTAAATTTTGTAGTCACAGAACAAAAGGAAGCCACAGACCAAGGCATTTTTCAAACATTGGTGGCATCTGGGTCGTGGGTTACAGCAAAGAGGGGACATCATAGCTGCATCTCAGATGTTGTCTCTCAGCCTACTGGTTGGGGGACAGTAGGGGGTGCGTTCACACATTTCAAAGGAATTACCCAATGGCCACACAAGCTGATGGGTCAGGCACAGAGAAAGACAATATGTGGCTGTCCAGGGGCTAAGCATACTCCAAGACAGTTTGACTTTGGACTGGCAACATTTTCACCTGTCCACATCGCTGCCTTTCTGGCCAGTCAACCAGTCTTTGTAGAGTTTCTGCTGCTGTGATAAACACCATGACCAAAGCAACTTGGGGGTGACGGGGTTCATTTGGCTTAGGCTTCCGCATTATAGTTTGTCACTGAAGGAAGTCGGGGCAGGAATCTTGAGGCAGGAGCTGATGCAGAGGCCATGGAGGGTGCTGCTCACTGGCTTGTTCCCCATGGCTTGCTCAGCCTGCTTTCTTATAGAACCCAGGACCACCAGCCCAGGGATGGCCCCACCCACAATGAGCTGTGCCCCCCCATCAATCACTAATTAAGAAAATGCCCTACACATGGGTCTTATGGAGGTATTTTCTTAATTGAGGCTCCCTCCTCTCAAATGACTCTAGTTTGTGTCAAGCTGACATTAAAAACTAGTCAGTGCACAGAAATTCTCCTTCACAACATGGACCAGGGACAGCTCTGCCACAGGCCTCAGGTGATATCGAGTGACATTTTTAGCTCTGGGTTGGCTAGAGGTTTGTTAACATCTTCCAAATTGTTTCCCCTGGGAGTCAGAGGCTCAGGAGAATTGAGCTCAGTTCCATCACTCAGCCATCTTCTCAGCCCCTCAGTTCCCCCTCCTCCAGGCGCTGAGCAGCTGTTTTCTATTTATCCTTGTTAATCCTAGCTTGCCCACCCTCACCAGACCCCCAAGGGGTCATCAACCCCTCCCCTCCCTCCCCCTGCAACTGCGCTTGTGCACAGCGGGCATCCCCACTGGACTGGGAACTTCACCTGGGCAGCCCAGGTCAGCTCATTCCAGGGTCCCCAGCATGTCACAGGGTCCTGATACAGAGCAGGTGTGTGGCAGGCAAAGGTGTGAAGATGGACCTCCCTGCCTCCTGGGCGGAGCCCTCCAGACTTTAAGTGCTGCTGGCGTTCTCAGTGGGAGGGTGCCACTGAGGGTTCAGGTGGGGTGTGCCTTCACTCACACCGCAGGGACCGCACTCTGCCCTGACTGAATGGGATCCTAGGACTCTGCTGAGTTCCCTCTCAGTTCCTCTCCTTATGGCACAGAGAGCCTCACAAGGAGCTGATGGCTTTTGAGGGAAGTGGGCTCCACTTAGCAGCAGCCTTCATACCCTTGCCACACCCACAGGCTCCCACCCAGCAAGGCACTGAAGAAGCCGTCAGAGCTCTCTCACAGATGTGCGCCTCACACCTGACACGGGAGGCACAGAGTCAGAGCTGGACGGTAGCTCATTTTCCCAGCTGCCTGTGGTTGCTTTGCAGCCTCCACCCTACGGGCATCTCCGGGGTGGAGCAGGATACTGGGTGAAGGGGATAGATAATGGGAATCAAAGTCTTTCGAAAGTTCTTGCCATAGACATATCAGTGCCTTAACAAAATGATTCCATATTTAAAAAAACATTTTTAATTATTTCATTATTTTTAAGTGTACCAACATCTTGCCTACATGCATGCCTGGTGCCCGCAGAGGCCAGAAGAGGGCATCAGTCCCCCTGGACCTGGAGTTACAGATGGTTGTGAGCTGCCCTGTG